ACTGCAGAAAAAGATCTTGGGGTTATAAGTGGGTCACAAATCACATATGATCCACCAGTGTGATGCAGCTGTGAAAAAGGCTAACATCATTGTGGGATGTGTTAATAGGAGCATTGTATGTAAGACAAAGGAGGTAATTGTCCTGCTCTACTCAGCACTGGTGAGGCCTCAGCTGGAGTTCTGTGTTCCGTTTGGGTGTCACACGTTAGGAAAGATGTGGACAAATTGGAAAGAGTCCAGAGAAGGGCAACCAAAATGACAATGGTTTAGAAAACCTGACTTCTGAGGGAAGGTTAAAAAACCAAGCATGTTTAGTCTTGAGAAAAGAAGACTGGGGGGGACCTGATCACTGTCTTCAAATAAGGTAAGGGCTGTTATGAAGAGGAGGGTGATGAATTGTTCTCCAGGGCCACTGAAGGTAGGATAAGAAGTAATCAGCTTAACTGCAACAAGGGATATTTAAGTTAGATATTAGGAAAAACTTTCTAACTAAAAAAACAAAGAGTCTGGTGGCACCTTAAAGACTAACAGATTTATTTGGGCATAAGCTTTCGTGGGTAAAAAACGCTTTAAAGTGGGGTTTTTTTATTCATGAAAGCTTATGCCCAAATAAATCTATTAGTCTTTAAGGTGCCACCGGACTCCTCGTTGTTTTTGTGGATACAGACTAACATGGCTACCCCTCTGATTTCTAACTAAAAGGGAGTTAAATACTGGAATAGGCTTCCATGGGAGGTTGTGGAGGTTTTTAAGAACAGGTTAGACAAACACCTGTCAGGGATGGTCTCTAGGTATTCTTGGTCCTGCCTCAGTACACGGGGCCGGTCTAGATGACCTCTTGAGGCCCCTTCCAGCCATACAGTTCTATGATTTGATGTATGCCATTATCGTGATGGTGCATGCAAATCTGGCTATTTGTGTGCACAGGTACTGAATTTCCCCACCAGGCTGCAGTAGTTTCATGCAGAAATCTGTTACACAATTGCGCAGCTGACATTTTTGAATGTTTCATGGTCCTACTCCCGTATTCCATTGTATAAATGAAAATCTAAAAGCTTACATGAGTGTAACATCAAGTGGCTTTGAAAAATCTACTTGTGCACTCACCAGTGTCAACTAGGAGACATTATTTGGAAGATTGAGGAAGTGGTAATCTAGGTCTTCGTTGTCTGCCCAATCTAAGCTCTCATTTAATAAAAAATTGTATTCCCTGTGGTTGTGAAGAGCACCTTCCAGCGAGAATCAGATGGAACCAGACGAGCGCTGTCTTTCTGAGCCTATAGACAGGCCACTCCAGTGCGGGGAATGAGGAGGGTTGGATTCTAACTGAGGTATTTATATGGCCCCCCATTACCACATTATCTGAGCACTTCTCAATCATTAATGTGTTTATCCTCACAGCATCCCTGTGAGGCAGGGCATTGCTGTTATCCCCCTTTCACAGATAGGAAATTGAGGCCGAATGACTTGCCCAGTTTCACACAGGAAGTCTGTGGCAGAGCAAGAAATTGAACCCAGCTCATGGGCTAATGCCCAAACCACTGGAGTGTTCTTTCTCTCAGGCGGCTGTTCCCAGCTCTGCCATGGACATCCCGTGTGACATGACTGGCCCAAGGTCATCTCTCTATTCTCTGGTTTCCCCATCGCTACACTGGGGTACAAGTGCATCCCTGCCTGCAAGTTGTGTTTTGAGGCTGAATTCATTAATGCCTGTGAAGGTCTCTGAGATCCTTGGATAGCAGGCACTGTGCACCCGCCCAGTATTTGGATTATTTGCCTGTCACTATATTAATGTACAGGGCCAAACAAGGATTAAAAGCTGCAGGGTGACACAGGGTTTAGAGCTCTGAGCGGTGTAGGGACAGGCCAATACTGTATGGGCTAAAGAAGTGCTTCTCAAACTTTTTGTATTGGTAACGCCTTTCACGCAGCAAGCCTCTGAGTGGGACCCCCCCTTATAAATTAAAAACACATTCATGCAGTTTATTCAGCAGCTGAAGAGCTGAATTAATCAAACCCTCTAATGCTGTGTCAGTCTCAGGGCCGGCCTTAGGAAAAATGGCGCTCTGGGCAAATTTCTATTTTGGCGTCCTTTCTTTGGAGGAGGAGCGGGGTTGGAGGTGAACGGTGGTAAGGGTGGATCTGGGCTGTTGGGGCTCTGGGCTCTCAGCCCCGTGCATGGCTGGGCTTGGGGCTGGCAGCTCATGACCCCCACGTAACCACCTCGGGACCCCCTGAGGGGTCACAAACCCCAGTTTGAGAACCCCTGGGCTAAAGGGTGGTTACACCAGGCCTTACCTGTTGGAGGGTGCTGCTCTTGCAGCAGCTTTTCCCTACATTCACCTTCAACTTCCTCTGAACACTGGCTCCCCGTGGACCCTCCCTTGGGACCAGCCCCACAGCCTGGCTCTCTCAGACTGACCCATGACAGATGCCAAAGCCCCACCAGTTGCTGAAATTCCCCTTACTGACAAGTGCTCAAATCCCATTTTTCAGCTGCAAAACCCTCCCACATTCACCTGCCTACCTCTCCTCCCAACTCCTGAGTGTATAATACGTGGGGTATCAAAGTGTGCCTGGGGCCCCAAGGAACAAATGACCCGCCCTGGTGTAACTGTTTGCCTTGGAAGTCTCCACAGGGGGTGTCTTCCCAAGTGATGGGCAATGTTTGAGCAGGGGTAGAAGGAGCACCAAGGGTCTGGGTTTTACTGGGGAAAGAATGGGGCATGTGTTGAGCTCTGTCATCCCAACTATAGGCATGGCTGAGGTCTAATTTTCAGTCCCGCAGTCTCAGTTCCAGAGCTCTATAGTAGTACAAGAGAAGCGTGGCTTAGCATTGAGATTGGAGACATCCACGGTTTTGCACAGAGATTCCTGCTGCTTTTATTCTCCAAGTAAGAGAGCATTGGTAGTTGTCATTTGATTTTCTTGCTATAGATGAATGTGGTGCTGGTGGAATTGAGAGAAGTGTGAATGCTGGCTGGAGCCAGGGGATGTGCACAATTTGCCCCCCACTTTTGCCCCAGCTCTGCAAAAGTAATTACCTCCCCTGCTAGTCCAGTTGTGGGCCCCCCCATACAGTTCAGCTTATCCTGACCTATGCCCTTCTACTCTTCCAATTCTGGGCTTCCACCTGGCTCTGCCAAAACACTTCCAATCCTGACCTGCAGCATCTTTTGATGTCCCAGTCTTGGGCCTCTTCCCATCACCCCAGCCTATACGCAGCCACTGCCCGCCCTGACTGCCCTGTCCAACTTGAGCTCCTGTTGAGAAGAGGCACCCAGCTGTGTTGCACTGTGTGGGGTTTCTTTGCTATTGACCAACATCCACTGGGGACTCAGATGAGAACATCAAACACAGTTTCATGGGTGACCTGAGGCAGGATTGCAGCCCTGGTCTCTAGAGGTGAAATGCAGGGGGAGGGTTTTGACTGAGTTACTGTCTGGTATTATTAACGAGTCATGTCTTGGTTGAAGGTTGTATAGGTGCCTAGTCCTTAGGGCAATGGCGCCCAGCCTTATTACACAGGAGGGCCACATAAACCTAAGCACCACCTTGTGGGGGCCAAATGGATTCTACATATTTCAATAAGATTTAAAGTCACCTGTACTGATTATTAGTTTGTTTGTTGTTTTGTATGTATTTAGATAGGTTGTTTCTATGTGCAGTATTGTCTATTTAAAAACAAATAAAGAAATGAGTGCATAAAATGTGTATCAATTATAGAAAACAGGAAAAATGATGTAAACAGTCCCACAAAAAGCTAATGAATTGGCTGTTAGTATATTGTGTCAAAGCAGGCTGGGACCTTATGAAATGCTCTGGTGGGCTGTGTATGGCTTACGGGCTGTAGGTTGCATGCCTCCCCCACCCTCACCCCCGCCTTAGGGGATAAGGGTGCTTTTATAAGTTGGTAAATAAATACAGCGGGCCAAGCTTGATCTCTTATGCTTTGCCCTGGCAGTGCCCTGACTCCTGAGTTGCTCCAGAGTAAATGAGATTGGTGTAAGAAGTTATAACTTTATTAACTCCAGTGCAGATACTCCTGATTTAGTGCAGTGTAACTGAGATTAGAATTGGGGCCCATGCTGACCCCAGTGGAGTTGCACCTGTTTACCCCAGGTCTCAATTTGGCCTAGTGTTTTTTAAATGTCAGGAATGAGACAGGACCTGGAAACTCATAACTGCTGCTTTCCCCAGGCGCACGTGGGAGGAGGCTGGTAAAGACATTAAGAGGTTAATTGGGGCTTTTCATCTCCACCTGTTCAGCTTGGCTAGTGAGCCAAGCCCACCAGTGAGGACAGGGGAATGTGTCCTTAGTACAGGATGAGCAGGGACAGCCTAACGTTAGCCCCGGACTATTCCTGCTCCCCTGACAAATGGGGCTGAAGATGAGGCAGAGACCAGGCTGCCAGCAGTCATGCTCCCTCTTAGCTGATTGAGTTAGGTACTGACTGGAGCTGAGGCATATTATTATTATGTATTTTATTAATCATTTATATTACAGTGGTGCCCAAAGGCCCCAGTCAGGATGAGGGCCCTCATTGGGCTAGGTGCTGTACAATCATATAGGAAGAGACAGGCCTTGCCTCAAAGAGTTTACAAGCTGCATTGGCAAGACTGACCGACAGTACCAGACAGATAACAGCCGAGTGAAATAAAAGGGCAGAGGGACACAACTTGTTACGTTTGGTTTTATTTTATTATTTTCCAGATCATCCCTCAACCCCATTCCCTCCCCTCTCTTGGGCTGCCCCAGCCAACCTGCTAAAATATTGCTGATGCAGGGTCCCCTCATCCCAATCTGCTCACCCCGCAGAAATAGCATTAGGCTTAAGAGGAAAAATAGCTACAATTTTACAGACTGACAAAGAATGTCTCAGGGCTCCTGGCCTACTCCCCCAGGGGCAAGGGGGCAGAGGCCCCTCTTGGCCAGTCCCTTCCCCCTGCAGTGACTGGTGGCAGCTCTGTGCCTCTCTCTCTTTTCCAGGGAGATGGTGTGGAACCTGCTGCCCCTTGGGTTAATAAAAATGATGACTAGTTGCAGATAGTACTCAGCTGCAGGAGGCCTGCTGATCACATATTCGAACCAAGAGCCAATCATTTTAATTGTGAACCACCAAATCCCGTTAATATGCAGCCTTTTTACCACAGGGCGAGAGAACAGCTCTTCTCTTCCATCCACAGTCTCCTCCCCCCACCCCCCAGTATCCCCCCCTTTCTCTGCTCTAGGTGCTGCCAGCCAGTTCACTTCTGCAGAACACCTCTTGTGGCTCTGAGGCTGGTTTCTTGCTGGGCTGCATATCCTAGCATCCTCCAGGCTGGGATGCTGTCCAGGAACGTTTGTACCTGCTACACAATCACTCTCGAAAGGCGTCTCTGGGCCTGACTCTCCTCTCACACTAGTGCAAACCAGGAGTGATCCCATTCGAATCAATGGTGTTTCACTGATGAAAGCCTGGTATAAGTGGGAGGAGAATCTGACCTTATGTATAATTAAATTATTATCATCATCAATAAGCAGTACTCACCTATACTTGCAGCTTTTTGCAGCACTCAGCAACTCCCGATCTCGTTGTACAGAGATGGAAAAATAAGGGACGTCCCTTGTAATACAGGACTGTTGGCAACCCTAGCTGCACCTGAGCTCTGACGATGCCAGCATTTGCAACTCAAGAGGAACTTGCTTCACCTGAACAAGAGAGGAAGCACAGGGAAGACGACTGTAACAGCTCTAATACCCGCTGCCCCCAGAACCACCCGGAGGGACAGGAACAAGAGAGCACTGAAAGGTCCCACTCTTAGATAACCATAGACAATTGGATTGGGTGTGATAGGCCCATGTAATGAATCTCAGCCAATCACTGGCTAGGACATGGTAAAAAAATTTAAAAAGGCAGCCAATGGTGACTAAGTGGTAAATAATGTGGTCAGCCTTGGAATGGTGTAAAATTTCCATTGGGCACATGACCTCATCTCAGCCAACTGGAGTGTGTTTGAGCAGGGAATGCTGGTGACAGCACACCTCTCATAAATCTCTATTTGAAGCAGGATTTAAATAGCAGCTGAGTCCGGCCCATGTCCCAATGGCTATTTTAACTCCCAGGTAATGCCCTCTGTGCAGGCTCTTCTCACAATCATCAACTCTGGGAAAACAACAGATGAAGAAAATATAGATCTGAAGAACCTTGAACAGTAAGGTAAATTGTTTTCAAAGTCACGTGGAAGTGATGTGCACTTTGTTTGCTGTTCTGGCCTTTTCCTCCCGGTTAAATCCTGGCAGTGGGACACATGACTGCCTTCTGTTGACTGTATCATTTCTGATATTGTAATTACATTGAGTCACCAGATTTTGCATTTCTCCTCGTCATTGTTCAAAAGCCTTAAGTAGTGGGAAAGTGAAACAGTCTCCTTGCTTCCTGAATGCCTTTAGATTTAGTTGAGTTGCTGTGAACCGCTAATGTACCATAGATAGACAGACAGGTAGATAGAGTTTCCCTACTCCCTCTACTCCCACTTTGCCAGCCTTTGATCACAGTAATTATAATGTTGGTGCCTTCTATTTTGATGTGGGTATGTTTGATTGAGTTGCTTTACCTTAAGCACAGAGCCCAAGTAATGTCAATGGGTTTTTGGTCTTAACTGCATCTTCTGCAGCATTTCTGAGACTGATCTGCAAGCAGAATAACATGGGATCTGTGTTACAACCAAGCCCAAAAGGGCATTAATCATGGGTTCATTGCTGGAAATGTTGGTGTCCTCAGTCTGTCCATCCATCTGCTGCATCAGGAAAAATTCAGACATCTTAGCTGTCTAAATCTCACTGTTTCCAGGGAAAAGTCCCCTTAAGGCTAACAAGTGTTAAAGGAAGGTAGGAGTAAAACAACCCAAAGCAGTATGTGAGCCAGAAAAATCTATTGAAAGCTCAATAGGGAAGATAATAGCTTTGTTGGAACAGGTACAGGTGTAATACTAGTGCAGTGTATGCACTGGAATAAGAACCCAAGCTTCCTCAATACCTAACCCTCATTCCCTTTCCTTCCTGCCTCTGAAGATCCAGATTCTTTCCTGAAATCAGCTCGCCTCCAGCGCCTGCCGTCATCTTCATCGGAGATGGGCAGTCAGGATGTCTCGCCGCTGCGGGAGACCAGCAAAGACCCATTCTCTGCAGACTGCAGCTGCCGCCAGGATGGGCTGACGGTGATCATCACAGCCTGCTTAACCTTTGCGATGGGAGTCACGGTGGCCCTGATCATGCAGATCTACTTTGGGGACCCACAGGTAAGCGGAGGGTTTTTTTTGTTTTTTTTTTTTTAAAAGGACGATAATCTAGCTATGGGAACAATTGCCTGCTGGGAACTACAGCTTCCTCCTTTGCGCTTATCAGTTAAGAAACCCAGCAAATGCTGGTAATGTCAAAAAGGGACTGTAGAATTGAGACTGGGAGCCTCCATACTGATTCCCTCTCAGTGATTCCACATCAAATCAGAACCGTTTACACAGCAAAAGCTTTTTCTACCAGCCAATGCTGTAAACTCCCTGCAGGATCTGAGAATCAAGCTGGGTACTCTCTGCTTTTGCATCATCGCTGCAGGCAGAGATTATGCAACCAGATTTATCTGTGAGGTTTTGATGATGATGCACTGGAGAGAACAGAATCCAGCTCATCCTGCCCTGGCTGGCTCTGTGGTTCAAGCAGGAGAAAAACCCGAACCTGAATAAATGCAGCGAGCAGCTCTATTATTAAGGCAGAAGGCACCATTGGTACATAGTCACTTTTCTGACAATCACAGGGCAAAATGATATGTTGCTGGTCTGTATATTGTGTGGCACATCTGTCATTGAGGGTTATAATTCTTAACTGGGATTAGGCAGTGTAATGGTTTAAATGACAGTGGAACCCCCTGCTATTCCCTGCCCGTGTCTCATATTTTACACACGGGCGGTCTCGCCCCACTTCACTGCAAGGGTTTCACAGGAAAGGCAGCACTGTTGTGCAGGCCCATTTTACTGAGACTTTGTTGCTTTGACAAAATAGGCTTGTCAAGGTTCCCTCCCCACTCTGAACTCTAGGGTACAGATGTGGGGACCTGCATGAAAACCCCCTAAGTTTATTTTTACCAGCTTAGGTTAAAACTTTCCCAAAGTACAAACTATTTTACCTTTTGCCCTTGGACTTTATTGCTGCCACTACCAAGCGTCTAACAAATATATAACAGGGAAAGAGCCCGCTTGGAAACGTCTTTCCCCCCAAAATCCTCCCCAAACCCTACACCCCCTTTCCTGGGGAAGGCGTTATAAAAATCCTCACCAATTTGCATAGGTGAACACAGACCCAAACCTTTGGATCTTAAGAACAATGAAAAAGCAATCAGGTTCTTAAAAGAAGAATTTTAATTGAAGAAAAAAAGTAAAAGAATCACCTCTGTAAAAGCAGGATGGTAAATACCTTACAGAGTAATCAGATTCAAAACATAGAGAATCCCTCTATTCAAAACCTTAAGTTACAAAAAGACAGAAAACAGGAATATCCATTCCATTCAGCGCAGCTTATTTTCTCAGCCATTTAAACAAAACAGAATCTAACGCATATCTAGCTAGATTACTTACTAAATTCTAAGACTCTATTCCTTTTCTGTTCCCGGCAAAAGCATCACACAGACAGAGAGAGCCTTTGTTTCTCCCCCCTCCAGCTTTGAAAGTATCTTGTCTCTTCATTGGTCATTCTGGTCAGGTGCCAGCGAGGTTATCCTAGCTTCTTAACCCTTTACAGGTGAAAGGGATTTTCCTCTGGCCAGGAGGGATTTTAAAGGTGTTTACCCTTCCCTTTATATTTATGACAAGGCTACAGAACATTTACTAGTGTGCTGTGATGTCAGGTAACTAGGGTGTGTGTGTCGCAAACAGGTGTCAGTGGGTCTTGACCACGCTGTCCTCCCCATACTGCTCAATGAGAGGGGAGGTCCTGGCTAGATGTCCTGGGGCAGGTCTCAGAGTGGGAAAGGAGCAGCCTTGCTCTTTCAATTATTTGGACTCTTGCTGATGCTCAAAGTTCACTTGCAATAGATATCTGTTTAGATAGCAGTCTGTCTAACCACTTGTCTGTCTGTCTGTCGTGTATTTTTAGAGTGCCCACAGTTAGAGTACTGTACCTAGGTGCTGAACATGTAAAAGCAAACTGTTTCCTGATCACCCTTGACAAATAGCCAGGACATGCTGTGGGGGTTGTGTTTAGGTGTGTGCAGAGGGATGAGGAGACCTGCTATAGGGGTTGTGTTTAGGTGTGTGTGTGGGGATGGGAGCCCTGCTGTAGGGGTTTTATTTAGGTGCATGGGGATGATGGGAGGGGAGGGGGCTGCTGTGGGGATTGTGTTTAGGTGTGTGCAGGGGGATGGGGGGCCTTGCTGCAGGGGTTGTGTTTAGGTGCCTGGAGGTGATGGGGGGGGCTCTGCTGTGGGGACTGTGTCTAGGTGTGGGGGGGAAATGAGGGCCGGGGTGCGGGGGTTGTGTTTAGGTGTGTGTAGGAAGATAGGGGCCCTGCTGCGGGGATTGTGTTTAGGTGTGTGGGGGGGGATGGGGGCCCTGCTATCGGGGTTGTGTTTAGGTGTGTGTGTGGGAGGATGGGGGCCCTGCTATGGGGTTGTGTTTAGGTGTGTGGGTGGGATGAAGGCTGTGCTGTGGGGGTTGCTTGTGGTGTCTGCCTTTGTGTTTTCTTAAAAGTTTTTATGGGATTTTGAAAACGTACAAAACATGAAGAGGTTTGAGTAGAACAAAGAGGCTAGCTGTTCTCAGCCCTGTCCAGGTGCCATTTGTGATCGTGACATAACATGGTATACCTAGGGCTAGAGCGTGGCTGTAGGAACGATCTGCTGCATTAGAACATTTGGCCAGGGGGCACTTCACCGGTAGTAGTGGCTGGAGGCCTTTTGTCTCTGGGCAGTCTTAGCTCCAGCCCGAGGAGTGGCGTAGTCGGGAATCCAGCTGCTCAGCAATTCACAGGTCAAAACCAACCCCTTGAATTGCACCCAGACACAATCCATCTTCTGCTGCCCATGTTCGTTCTGGGCCCCAGACCAGGCCCTGCCGTGGGCTTGAATGAAAGTGTGGGAAATGCTCCTTCTGCTAGCAGATGGCACTGCCTTTCTCCTACAGTACCGCATGGCTTTGCTTCTCCTAGATATTCCACCAGGGTGCTGTGGTCACCGACGCTGCCCGCTGCACGGCGCTGGGCATCGAGGTGCTCAACAAGCAGGGATCCTCCGTGGACGCAGCCATCGCCGCAGCTCTGTGCGCAGGAATAATCAACCCCCACACATCCGGCATTGGCGGGTAGGTGCAAACCGGTCGCTGTGCTCCCCTTTGCTGAGAGGGCCTGCTCGGTGTGGCGGCATGCTGAGGGGGGCAGAACCAGGAGGGCACTGGGTCTGGGCAATGGGGCCAGTGTTGGGTCAGGAGTCTGTTCAGGCAGGTGGTGCAGGGTTCCTCTCTGTGTTGCAGCCCAGGGCTACCCTGTGCTCCGGGGATGGGCACAGGAGGAATTGGGATCACAAAGTGTCATTTGACTCAGTGCTTCTTGCCTCCTTTGTGCCCCTGCCGGCTGGAAATGGGGAAGGCTTTCACTACATCCTCATTGCAGGGATGGAGCCCGATGAGCCCTTCGCAGCCCTGAAAGCAGGGGAGACGCTACAAAGATCCTTCTCCTCTGTGTGCCTCCCTACTGGCTGGTAATGCTCTGTCCTTAGAATCATAGAATCTCAGGGTGGGAAGGGACTTCGGGAGGTCATCTAGACCAACCCTCTGCTCAAAGCAGGACCAGTCCCCAGTTTTGCCCCAGATCCCTAAACGGCCCCCTCAAGCACTGAACTCACAACCCTGGGTTTAGCAGGCCAATGCTCAAACCACGGAGCTATCCCTCCCTGCTTGCTCTTCCTGCGCAAAAGGACTGCTCAAGGCTAGTGCTGATGGTGATATTAGCCTCCCCAAAGGGAGAGGGCTATGGCCTTACCCCCTCTGCAGCAGCCAGCAGAGCCGGGGGAGTGTGGGGAGAGTTTTTGGGAGCCAGTCTGACACATGCTCCCCTGAGTCATGCATGCTGCTTCTAGGATCTCCTGCTGCGGAGGTTTGCCATTGCACCCCCGCCCCCCAACACAGTTAGTGGCTTTACAGATGCAATCTAGTCCTTAGTCTAAACTGTCATGCTGGCTGCTGGTAGGGAGGCAAGGGTGGCTACCAAATCATTGTGACAGTGGTAGACCAGATCCTTTCTCCCATCCTTCTGGCAGCTTTGCATTACTAAGGTGGGCCAGTGGCAGGAGAGAGGCATGGCTGGAGAGTGCTGCACTCTGGTGATCCAGGACCAGTTGAAGGGTCCCCAGAAGGTTATTCCAGCAAGCACAAGCTAGAGCAGCCCTGAGCCTGCTCTAGCATGTGTAGGGATGGATCTGGCCTCCAGGATCGGCAGAGGTTAAAAGGTGGTGGAATGCTCCCTAATCCCCAACCCCAGGTATGCTGAGTGGATCTGTCCTGGTGTTTTTGGAGAACTGAATAAGATTTGTTACACCTGTAAATCATGGCCCTGTTACAACAGCAGCAGCAGCAGCATGTACTGTATGGGGGTTTCCTCAACTCATGGTGGGGCAAAGTGAATGTAAGGAGATCTAAACTGGAGGAATGTGCAGAGTGAGGGGGCTGGAGGAAAGTGCCAACTGCACCATCTTGGACTCCATGTGACCCCCGTACCCCTGAGTCTAGCCTACTGTCTGGAGCTGCTGCCTCCCTTTGATGTCAGTTTCGAAAGATGTTATGCAAGTGAGACTTGAACCTTCCACTTGCCAGGACACCAGGAAGTCCCAGGGAATGTTACATAAATGCTGTCACCTGATAATGTCTCATCAACTCGGATTTGAGAATCTTTTGTTGTAAGTGGAAACCCCGGTTTGATCCCAAAGCCTGTTACTAAATCTCTGTTTAGGATTAAAAAACAAAACAAAACAAACCACAAATGGATGGACTACTTGGGAATGGATTTAGGAAATGTGCAATTTACCCAAGACTTCCAAGGCACAGAGTTCCAGTGTTCTAATTGGGGATTAAAGCATCAAGTGAACAACTAAATTTTAAACCGATATGCACAAATAATTAGCAAATGGAACAATGTACCATGGGATGTGGATTCCCCATCACTTGCAGTCTTTCAATCAAAATTAGTTGCCTTTCTAAAATATGCACTAGTCCAACCACAAGCTTTAGGGATCAATGCAGGAATCACTTGGTGAAATCTATGGTCTGTGTTGTGGAGGAAGTCAGACTAGGCTGGTCTTTGAATCTATGAGCAGTAATGAATAATCTCACTTTCAAAAAAAACCTTCAACATTTTGGATTCCGAAGGTGTTTTTAGTTTCAGTGCTGCTGGTCCTGTGTTCATCACCTTCCTCTCTAATATCTCACACCTTTCTTCCTGATTTCCCCCCCACCCCACACACCAAGTTTTATTTGTTAAACTTTTAGATGTATTGTAATGGTTTCTAATGCATGGTAGATTGTGCCCATTATGACATGTGGCCCTCTGAGTACTTGGGTCACTAAATGTAAAATGATTCCTGTGATCTCAGCTGCAGCAGAACAGGCCACATTGTACAAGCATAATTTCCTAGGATGACACAAGCCCATTCTTGATCTAAATGTTTATTCTGGAGCTCGAGTATGGTAGAGATTATAAATAAGTCATTTCTCGGATGAAACTGATTTCTATTGGGTCATATAAACAGTTAGGACACACAGAGTTGCTATATTGGTGTAAAGGGAAGATTGTATTAAAGGAACCTGGTAAAACCCATAGCTGAACAAGTTCCTGTAATAACTCCATCGCAAAGTGGAGTTGCATTGTTGTTTGTATAGCCATAGAAGCCAAGGAGCGGGCCCCAGTGTGCTAGGATCTATGCACACACATAGGAGAGACATTCCCTGCCCCAAAGAGCTTACCATTGAAACAGAGAAGACAGGCAGAGAACGGGAGGAAGGAAGTGCTGCCCTCTCTGTTTTACAGAGAGGGCACTGAGACACAGATCTGGGGTCTCAGCCAAGATCGCACAGGAAGTCTGTGACAGAGCTGGGAAGTCAACTGAGGTCTCGTGAATCCCAGTTCAGGCCTTCACACCAAACCCTGCTTTTCCCTGTGGGCATCTGCCAAGGACATTGGGATTTTCCCTGTTCTGTAAATAATTAAGAGTGACAAATAATTGTGGTTTGCGTGTGTCGTACAGAGCTGATAACGGTGATGCTTAACAAACGACCAGTCATCATCAGAGTTAATAAGGATTCCAGAACAAGTTAGAAATAGGTTCATGAAGTACCTTTTAGATCTGGATTTCGTACAACCCCATGTCTGAGCTGATGTGTTTGGAGCCAGTGTTTTGCTCTGGCCCACTATAAAAATAGGGCCGTTTGCAAAATGTGGGCCTTGCTTTAGATTTCAAATACACCCCCTCTCCAGGATTTTGGCTTGTGCTCACCTGTAGATCAAATGTACTCAGTTTACAAATCCGAGATCAGAGATCGGGATCTGAAATGCAGATTGAGCTCTTTCCGCCTCTTATATCATCACCGGTGATAAAGATTCTGTTACTGGCATCAGCTAACAGGTTAGCTGAAGTTGCACAGAACCGAACAGCCTCCAAGTCACTCTCCCCTGGCTGTGAGGGCTATGCCTGCATGCCAGGAGTAAATGCTTGTGTGCACCCATGAAGTCAGCAGATAGGACCCAGTGTGCAGGGAGCAGAACAGTTGAACAGCTGAGTAAGAGGATGCCATTTGTACAAGCTCAGTGGCACCAAACCCCAGATCTCTGTGCTCTCCTCATGTACCCACAGAGGGCATTTGGTGGTACGGGTCAGGTACAGGCTCAGGGCTGCATTAGTAAGTGCTCGGGAATCCAGTGGACAGCAAGGTGCTCTGTATGCCCAAGGTGCTCTCTCTTTGCAGCGGGGGAGTGATGCTGGTCCACGACATCCGGAAGAACGAGAGTCAGGTGATTGACTTCCGAGAGACAGCCCCCTTTGGGATCCAGGAGGAAGGCCTTCAGAAGGCCTGGGAGCTGAAGGTGGGCCAGAGAACCTTTATATTTTCTTTCGTGGGGCTTCCTTGCTAATGTTCCCATGTCTTCTCCTTCTATTCCCCACTAACCCCGATTCCCAGCAATAATGTATGTGCAGCGAGCGGTGGGATGCCTGTTACTCAGAGGGGAATTTAGCCCTGTTGAAAGGTGCTGGCGTATCAAATCCCCTCTTCATAGAACAGGTACAGACACAGGTCAAGCATCCTCACCCCCACACTGCTCCTCAGTCCGACTCTGGAGCCGTTCGTTCCAGGGCTGAGAGGGGAGTTGGGTCTCCATGGCCCGCTCTCCTGAGCCTGCCAACAGCAGGGGAGGGTTTGTCAGTTCTGATGTTGGTTTTTGTAACTGCCCACAAAGAGCTCTATGTTTTTGTCCACTAGGAACTGAATGGAGACTCACTCACTTGATCTGCACAGGCCACAGAACACTTATGTGATGACGACCGTCTTTCCATTATTGAGCCAGTCCAGATTAGCCCTGGTGGCCTAGAGGGGAAATATTTCATGTGTAACGTAGAAATCCCTTGAGCCAGCAAGTCTGACTGGAAATGAGTAAACTGAGCCATTCTTGGGGATAAGGGAAATTAAGTAAGAACAGTCTACTTCAGAAAGTGAGATGCAAAGGAGATATGAGCCTGAGGGTATGTCTACATGGCAAAAAACCCGGGTGGTAGAGAGTCTCAGAGTCTAAAGATTTGGACTCACACTATGGAGTTGAAAATAGTCATGTAGACATATGGGCCTGGGCTCTGAAGCCCAAGGAGGGGTTTGGGTTTCAGAGCCTGAGCTCCAGCCTGAGTGTGAATGTCTACATGGCTATTTTTAGCACCATAGCACAAGCATCGTGAGCCAGAGGCTGTAGAACCAGGCTCTGTGACTCACTGCTCTGGGATTTTTTTTTTTGCTCCCATGTTGACATACTTTTAGAAATATTCAAAATGATAGACAGATAAATAGCAAAGGCTACATGTCATGGGACTGAGTTCATCCCATTGGCTTCATTGGGGTTACATCAGGAATGAAGTTGCCCCACTTTGTTCCCAAAGGCTTTTACTCCTTAACTGTGTTGTCACCAAGCCTTGTATCTAAATTTCTGGCATCTTTAGCGTCTTTCACTTTGTATGGAAAATATGCTGGGACCCCTCTGTGTGATGAGTGATGGCCTCTCCGTTATGGTAATTGGAGATGGTGTCCTTAGGGCGATTTGACTCTTCCTTTCTGTGCTTTCTTTTGTCCAGCCGGGTCTCCTGGTGGGGGTGCCAGGCATGATACAAGGGATGCACAAGGCTCATCAGTTACATGGGAGGTAAGAATATTTCATACGGTTTAGCTCTGCACAGAGTGCACTCTACTGAAAGGTGTTGCAGGATAAAACACCCACTTATTCCAGCTCGTCAGCTGCTCATGCTGTAATCTCCAGTCAGTGGCGGATTCAGCTCTAGTGTGGGTTCCATGGCCAAAGATCTTGCTGTTGGCAGGGCCCTGTAAGCTCTGCCCCAGCTCACCATGGCACAGGACTCTCTTGATGTTCTTGGATAGGCTATTGATTCACTTTTCTTTGGAACATGTTGTTTTCCAGGTCTCTCCCTTTGAAGTGCAGCACTTTTATAGCACTTTTTGTCCCTAGTGCACTTTACAAACACTGGCTGGGGTTTTCAGAATTTCACACATGCAATCACAGGACTGATTTGCATGTGCAGTTATCACAGATGTGTCTTCTGCAGTCGCATGTCTGTGGCCCAGTTTTCAGATGACCCGAGCACTTCAACTCTCATTGAATTCAGTGGCAGCTAAGGGCACTTGAGCCCTGTGAAAACCAGACCACAAACTCAGATAAAAGTCTAATTAACTAATAGAACAGATTGATTTTGTTTCCCCCCCACAAAAGAATGTTTGGCCAAAACAAAACATTTCATTTTGGTTGACGTTTTCTGGGTTTTTGACAAAGAAATGAAAATTGAAAAGTTTGGGATCCATCCATTTCTCTTTGCCATTTGCAGGGGAAAAAGAACCGAGGAACTGAGTATAAAATGAAAAAAATGTAACTTTTCAAAAACTGTTTTTTTTCTGATTTTCATTTTCTCAAAAAATTCTGCAAAAATTTTCAAATGAAATTGTTTCCCCGCTTTGTTCAAAAATGTTCATGGAAAGCATTGTGTTTTCTGATCAGCTCTACTCAATTAATCCTCACATCCACCCCTGTATAGTAGATCAATAGTATTACCTCCATTTTATAGACGGAGCATGGAGGGGAGGTGTTAAGTGACTTCCCAAGGCTACAGAGGGGTGCAGTGTCTCAGTTCTGTTCTCTGGCTGCAACAAAGAGACTTCCAACAAAACATATTCTGACTGTACCCCTGTCCTAGCCCCAGTGCTAGTCCCCTGAAGACAGCTCTGCTTTTACTATGCTCCGTTTCAAATGCAGATTTCTCTTTGTGTTTTCTCTTCGCCAGACTCCCATGGTCAGAACTGTTGGGCCTTACTGCAAATATTGCTCAGGATGGATTCAATGTCACGCATGACTTGGGTGAGCGCCTTAACGCAGCAAAAGAGTCCTATGTGATGTATGCCAGGAAGTTTTTCCTCCTGCATATGTTAAGGAAGAAGGGGACTGCATTTATGTGTTTGGAATGTGAACGGGGGTTAACTTCCAGAAATTTAATGCTCTTCAGACAGGGAAATGCACTGTGTCAGGGTTAGAAATCGAGCTAGACCTGAACAGCAGAGAATGAAAGATCCAGAGTGGATCTTTCCGAGGTGGACTCTTTGGTTTGGGCTGATCTCTAGTTAGAAATAGCGTGTTGGAAACATGGAGTCAGATCCTGCACTATTGGAGTCTCTGGGAGTTCTCCCATTGTTAGTGCAGGCGGGTATAATGCAAATCCATGTATCTGTCTGATCCAATCTGTCTTGTTACTGAGGCACCTCTCACCCTGTTCAAACACATCTTTCCCATAACTTTTCAGTGTGGACGCTCCTAGGCTAGCATTAGACTTCTCCTGAACTGAAGCTGGAGTCCTGATTCACTTTACACTGGCACATTCACTAGAACAGGGCCCCTCTCCTGGGGAGGCTGCAGGTGGCCAGACTGTGTCAAAAAGGGTCTGTCTACACTGCAATTAGACATCCACGGCTGGCCCGTGCCAGCTGACTTGGACTTGTGGGGCTCAGGCTGTGGGGCCGTTTAATTGCAGTGTAGATCTTTGGGCTCAGGCTGTAGCCTGAGCTCTGGGACCCTCCCACCTCGCAGGGTCCTAGAGTCCGAATGTCTCCACTGCAATTAAACAGCCCTGCAGCCGGAGCTCCATGAGTCTGAGTCAGTGAACATGCGCCAGCCACAGGTTTGTAGCTGCAGTGTAGACATACCCAAAGAAAGCTGACCTGCTGGAATAGAGCATGATTAGGGTTATGGAACAACTTCGATCTGAGGAGAGATTAAAAAGACTGGGACTTTTCAGCTTGGAAGAGAGACGACGAAGCGGGGATATGCTAGAGGTCTATACAGTCTTGAGTGGTGTGAAGAAAATGAATCAGGAAGTGTTATTTACTCCTTCACATAACCCAAGAAGTAGGGGTCACCCAATGAAATTAATAGGCAGCAGATTTAAAACAAACTGAAGGAAATACTTCTTCACACAACAAACACACAGTCAACCTGTGGAACTCATTGACGGGATGTTGTGAAGGCCAAGACTATAACTGGGCTCCAAAAAGAACTGGACAAGTTCATGGAGGATAGTTCCACCAATGGCTATTGGCCAGGATGGGCGGAGATGCAACACCATGCTTTGACATGTCGCTAGCCTCTATTTACCAGAAGCTGGGCATGGATGACGGGATGGATCACTCAATGATTACCTGTCCTGTTCATTCCCTTCTGAAGCATCTGGTATTGGCCACTGGCAGAAGACAGGACACTGGGCTAGAAGGACCATTGGTCTGATCCGGTATGGCCGTTCTTATGAGCATTGGTAGCAGGCAGGGACTGCGCTTATACTGGGCATTCCTATGGTGCCTCTAGCAGTAGAGTTCTTAGTACAGGGGTGGGCAAACTTTTTGGACCGAGGGCCACATTGCGGTTGCAAAACTGTGTATGGAGGGCCGGGTATGGAAGGCTGTGCCTCCCCAAACAGCCTGGCCTCCACTCCCGTATCTGCCCCCTCCCACTTCCCGCCCCCTGACTGCCCCCCTCAGAACCCCACACTCATCCAGCCCCCCTGCTCCTTGTCCCCTGACCTCCCCCTCCCAGGACCCCCTGCCCCTATCCAACCCCCCTGCTCCTTGTCCCCTGACTGCCCTGCCCCCTATCCACACGTCCACCCCCTAACAGGCCCCCCGGGACTCCTACGCCTTTCCAACCCCCCCCATTCCCCATCCCCTGACTGCCCCCCCCAGAACCTCCACTCCATCCAACTGCCCCCTGACTGCCCCCCAGGATCCACCGCCCCCGGCCCCCTTACCATGCCACTCAGAGCGGCATGTCTGGCAGCCGTGCCGCGCGGCCGGAGCCAGACACGCTGCTGCGCTGCCCTGCAGGAGCGCGCAGCCCCGCCGCCCAGAGCGCTGCCTGCATGGCGGCTTACTGTGGGGGAGGGGGGACAGCAGGGGAGGGGCCGGGGGCTAGCCTCCCCAGCGGGGCGCTCAAGGGCCTGGCAGGATGGTCCTGTGGGCCGGATGTGGCCCGCGGGCAGTAGTTTGGCCACCTCTGTCTTAGTGGATGGAGGTCAAGGTGCAACAGGCCAGGCTAGGAGAGCAAGAAGCAAATTAGACCTTGTAGTGCCAGGCACAGTGCGTGTGGCTCGACTAGTCCAACTCCAGGCGGGGGACTTGCACACTTACGCTTGCCTTTATGTTCATGCCTCAAACACTCTCCGCGCGCAATGTGGGGAATTGCAGTGTGTGCACTGAAGCGTGCACAAAAAATGCAGACCAGCGTGTCTTTCCCAAAGACACGCAGCAAATCTATGGCAGATCCAGCAATGCAATCCTGACCCCTAATCCAGATCTCACACTATAGCCACAAGACAACCCATCTCCTACTGTTGACTGGTCACATGATGGTCCTATTGCCCTCATGATCCATGACTATCTGTCACTTTTCAAAGAGGGCAATGGATGGGAATCCCTCTCACGTTCATGCATGCACGCGCGCACACACACACCCCCTTAACAAACCAGCGAGCAGAACTATACAGGCTGCAGATGCATCATTGGCGGCCATCTTCTTCAGCTGGTCTCTGGGGATGATCTGAATGTCCTAGGTGGTTTCATCCTGTAATACTGCTGTTACCTTTCTTGCTACAGCCAGAGCTATCGCTGAACTGAAGGAGCTGAACTACTCTGACAAATTCAGAGAGACTTTCCTTCCAGACGGCCAGCCTTTGTTGCCTGGAATGTTTGTGAGGCGACTTGATCTAGCCACCATTTTGGATCTGGTTGGCTCAGAAGGGGTCTCGGCCTTCTATGGTGGAAACCTGACCCAGGAGATCATTTCTGAGGTGAGCTATGTCTGTACTTACCTGCACATGGATTATTGCATAGTTAGTGCAACCTAGCACAGATAATGGTGCCACTAGCTGTTCCTTGTTTTAAATGTGGATGCATGCGGAGGGTGAGCAGTAGCGAGTTTTGACTTGAGTGATTAAAAATAAAAATTTGGCGCTCAGTTTTTCTCCCTCCTGTGTGTAACTCCCTTGATTTCAGTGGAGCAAATCCTACTTAAACCAGGATAAGTGACCAATGAAGCGGCACCATCACCTATGAAAATGAAATCTACTCTTTCCTTTATTGAAATGTCCCAGAGAAACACAAGAAAGGATCTAATGCTCTTAAATTTTATATGTTTTTACAATCATGTCTGTAGAACCCCATTAATCCCTATTACATTTGATAGGACTAGTCTGTAAGGATTGAATGGTTAAAGTTTTGGAGGAAATTTAGGTCCTAGGAAAAGTGCTGGAAAGCCTTAGAGAACAGTCCTCCATTTGGCCACTAAATGGGGCTACTAACTCTTTGCACACCAAAAAGCTATCGGATGGTAATGATTTTCAGTCAGTAACAGCTTTATGTGAACTGGGGACCTTGAGGTGAAAGTCCTCACCCATGAAGACGCCATTCCCTGAACCTTTTCAAAGCATCTGAATCAGAGTCACAACCACAGTTAATGTAGCCAAATTTTCCCTGGGGACCACTGATGTGGTTTTCTGTAAGTTACTGCTCAGAGAAGTGCCCGTGCTACCCAGGCCTTTGCCCACACTCTCAATTCATTACTCAGCTGCTCTGCGTTAGTTTTGATATGTTAGTAACTTCTAAAGACAGGAGATTCCAGGAGTCCTAAAAATACAGGCTTGATTTATAAAGAAGGGAGCCTTACCTTTAGAACACTGAACTATGAGTCAGGAATTCTGGGTTTTCTCCTGGCCTTGCCATTGCCTCACTGTGTGACCCTGCGCAAGTCACTTAGGCACCAACTTTCAAAAGTGGCCTCTAATTTTAGGTGCCCCTAACTTTATATATATATACGGCCTGACCTACCACGGACACCTGCATCCCCAGCTGAGATCAATGGGATGTATAAATGCTTAGCACCTCTGGAAATCAGACCAGAGGGTCTAACGTTGCACAACCAAAATTAGGGGGCTCTTTTGAAAATATGGGGCTTAATCGCTCTGTGCCTCAGTTTCTCCATCTGTAAAAGGGGGATGGTAATCAGGGCTGTTGTGATGTTTAACTAATGCTTTGGGATTCTCAACAAACAGCACTAGGGAAGCAGCATGTATTATTATTTGCCAGGCTGATACACAAACAAGTGGTCAGGATAGCCTGTGGTCTCAGAGCCTGTCCTCAATGACTCATTCAGTTATTCAGCCACCATCTTGGACTGCTCTGAGCTGCGTTCTACGTGCTGTAAGGAGGCTACCATGTTCAGAAAGTTCTCTGTTGCCCCCTCTGGTTTGGCAGTGCCACAGTGGGAAGGGAGGTCTGAAGAAAAGGAACAAAGATGAAAAGTTCCAGTTTCTAAGTGACTTCATGTTTAAAATTGGTGCACTTCAGTGCTAACTTACACCACATATTATGGGATTGCCCTGTGATCCGTCTTTTCTGGACTGAGGTAAATAGGGAAATGCCTTTCTCTCCACCCCAGTGGAAATGCAGGCTGGCCATACCATCCTAGGCCTAACCAATCCATCTTGGAACCTCAAATCCTTGGAAAAAAATGTGGGCTGCATAGAGCTCTGATCAGAGCCAAATGTTTAACTCCACCTGGTGGAAGTCCTAAGTGCACCCACCTATCGCAGAACGGTACTCTGACTTGGGGAGCCTGGCGGCAATGGAACCAATAACGGTTTGCCGTAGACACAAGCAAGATAAGTGTATGGATGTAGGGTCCCCATTTCTGGAAGTATCAGAATAATCAATTAAATTGCCCGTCAGCAGGGCTCCGTGTCTGTCACGGAGGTTGCGGAAGTCACGGTTCCGTGACTTTCTGTGACCGACGTGACTTCTGCAGCAGCCAGTGTGGCTGACCCCAGGGCCGCCCAAGCAGCTGGTTCCGGGGCCATGTACACTGGCTGCTGCTTGGACAGCCCTGGGCAGCTGGCCCCAGTGACCCACCCTAGTAGTGGCCAGTGCGGCTGGCCCTGGGGACCACCCTAGCACCCACCCCAGCAGCGGCCCCCCAGCCCTTCCCACAGCAGCAGCCCCCCAGGGCACCTCTCTCAGTACTGTCCTCCGGGTGCCCCCAGGCAGCAGCACCCGCCCCCCCCTGGCCAAGATTTAGTCAGGGGTATAGTAAAAGTCATGGATAAGTCAGGGCTGTGAATTTTTGTTTATTGCCCATGACCTGTCCATGACTTTTACTAAAAATATCTATGACTAAATCGTAGCCGTACCCATCAGGTAACCTTGTGTTTTGTAAAAAGAACAGGAGTACTTGTGGCACCGTAGAGACTAACAAATTTATTAGAGCATGGGCTTTCGTGGGCTACAGCCCACTTCATCAGATGCATAGAATGGAACATATAGTAAGAAGATATATATATATATATATATACACATACAGAGAAGGTGGAAGTTGCCATGCCACAAGTACTCTTGTTTTTTTTGTGGATAGAGACTAACACGGCTGTTACTCTGAAACCTGTCCTTGTGTTTTGTAGTGCTCCCTGAGATCATAGTTCCAATGTATCCCCTCCTTCTCTCCCTTTCCCCTCTCTCCTCTCTGTCCTATCATTCCTCTCCTATCTTCTTTTACTTAGTTATTGGGCTTTTCTTAGGTCTTTTTCTTCCTCTTCCCGAAAAGGAATAATTCTGGAGATTAACATATGATCTTTCTTTACATAGAACTCCAGACTGGGGCTGAATTGCAAAATGACCATTGTTTCGCAGTATAGCAAATCTATTTAACCCATCAAAGATTGTTTGTTATATTTTACTCTTTGCCTTTAGTAATGAAGATGCTTGATCTTACCTATCTTGTTTTAAAATCTGATATTGACTCTCTACTCCAGGTTAGATAGCTTTCTTATCTTTGCTATTTTTTGTTATCTTTTGTCATCTGTGTTAAAATAAGCGCTAAAGAATAAAGCACACGCACAAAAGCTGCACTTCCAGATTTCACTGGAGAGTGGTGATCCCATCCATATGACCCTGAAAGTTATTCCTTCCCAGGGTTACATTCATTTTGCAAGTGCTCCCAAAATGCCATGGCCTGCGTGTGAAAAGCTGCTGTTTGTAGAGTAATCACATAGAACTTGCAACAAGTTCTTGGGCCTTTCTCTATATCTCCAAGAAGGGGGAACAGCTCACATCTCTATGCTGTGCTAATCCCTGTTTTGTTACCCCCCCTCCCCACAACACTGTGCTGCTGCGGAAGTGCAAAGAAGTGGCTGCCAGGCAAAGAAAGGGAGCTCTGTAAACAGGAGTAAAGCAAAGGATTGGGAGCACAGAAAAATATGCCAGGCAATAGAGTTAAGCTCCTAGTTAAAGCCTACTCTGCACAGAAGAGCAAAGTGCTGAGTGCACAGATAAGCTTAATGTGGTTTGTTGTTCTGATTGAACAAACAACATTTAAGATGTGCAGTCGGGTAAATCTGCAAGACACTGGATCCCTTTTTCCCCTCCTAATGCAGAAAGGCACAGGTGGGAAGAGTGTTGTTCTGGGAACTGGATATGACCTCTGTTTGTTTATCAGATGCCTGCTCCCCTTTGCATATCATTCACACTCCTTTTGCCTGATGAGCAGCTGCTGTACTCAGTTTTATGCTGGTGTAATTCCACGGGGCTAGAACCTCAGCTGGTGCGAATCAGTGGCCAAGTGATTTCAGTGGCGCTACTGGAGTGTAACACAGTTGAATTAGGGCCTTTATCTTTTGGGATGTATCTCTTGCTTTGTGCAGGGAGTGGAGATTAAAACTATGGACCGCATTTTCAAAGGGGGCAAGCGCAGGTGGGAATTTGCACCTCTTGGGCAGACGAGATGATGCTTATACATGCAGCGCTGCATGTGAGTGCAAACCCTGACTTGCACGTGCCCTTCTGGCTATTTGTGCTCTAGGTGAACATGCCCCGCATGGGAAAGCATTAACTCTCCTGCTCCTGTGCTTCATCTGTTAATGGCTCCACCTGAGACGGCATCCTCTCGCTACATTGAGTGCTTCATTATGAAAAACCAGATCCCAGAACTGCACAGTCTGCTTAGTCTGATTTTTGGGGTGGAGAACCAAAGCACTAGCTAGAGCAGCCATGGGCCTGAGTCTCGGACCGCATCCTACGCTGGTGTCACTCCATTGACTTCAGTGGAGTTACTCTCATTTATACTGATGTAAGTGAAGGGAGCCGGGCCTGTGTGTGTGTCGTTGGAAAAGACCGAGGGTTTTTGTGAGTACACGCACTCAGACTTTAAGGCCAGATTCATCTGCTCTGACCTTCTGTAAAACACAGGTCATGGAATTTCATACAATCACTCCTGTAGTGAAGGGAGCTGTCCCTCCCTTCCCTGTCGGTAAGCCCTCTTGAGCCCAAAAATTTGTACTTGAACTAGAGCATATCTTCAAGAAAGGCATCTGGTCTTGAGTCAAAGATGCCAAGTGATGGAGCATCCATCACATCTCTTGCCTTTCTGTCTTTTGTACTGACTGTGATGGGTTTCCCTGAGGTACAACCTGGAACTGGGGTACCGTGGAACCCTCTGGCATACCATCCTGGGCTCCCTTACTCACTGTGATGCTGTGACAAGCTGCAGACTGCTTCCAGTCCTGCATTTACACAAACCTTTACACGGGCAGGGGCACACCCAGCTGCACTTCTATGAAGGCTTCTCCCCCAGCTCCACAGCCTGGGACCCCAGAGCTGTACTGTCTTGCCCTGGTCAAAAGCCTGACCAGTATAAGTTTATTACCCAGTCTGCCCCTCCCTCAAAGTGGAGAGGACAAAGCACCAGTTTTTGTTCCTGAGCAGATTCCCTTAAGCACTTCAAGCAAATCACACTGTTGTAGATAAAATATAAAACAGATTTATTAACTACAGAAAGATAGATTTTTAGTTATTATAAGTAGTGAATGTACACTTCAAAGCAGATTACCTAAGAAATAAACAAAAACGTAATCCAAGCTTTATAAAGTAGATAGGATTTGAATCAAGCAGTGTCTCACCCTGTTAGCTATATAAGCAGATTATAGCTTTTGCATACACAGACAGGAATTCTTCTGTCCCGCCTGGGACTCTTATTCCCCCAGTTCAGTCTTTGTTCCTCAGGTGTTTTCAGGTGTTGGGTTGCAGGGCGAGTAAGGCCAAGTGATGATGTCACTTCCCCCTTTTATATCTTTCTCCAGCTTGCTGGAAAGATCTTTTGCTGAGATATGAGTCAAACAGTCTCCATTTGGCTCCGTGCTATCTCTGAGAGGTTTCCATTGTACACAGTTCCGGGGGTAATCCTTGTAAGTGTTTGTATTCTCCTCAATGGGCCATTCACATTGTTTGGCCTTTTTATTGTTGTAACTGAAAGGCTGCTCATGGGTGTTCCCAACCTCACAACATGTTTCAGTGGCACATACAGAGCCAAACTTCATAACTTCCTATGCAATGAGAGCACTTACAATTTAACAGGATGTTAATGTTCAACAGATTGAAACTTTTAAAATGATATCTCACAAGGCATATTTTGTACAAACATAATAATTATACCACCATGGTGACTATGGGGCGCAGAGTATCACATTGACATGGCCTCCATGGCAGTATAATCCGTGCACCTCACAATATTTAATCTATTTAGCTTCACACCACGCCAAGGAGGTAGGGCAGTGCTATTATCTCCATTTTACAGATGTGGGATTGAAGCTCAGAGAAGCTAAGTGACTTGGCCCAGGTCACACAGGAAGTCTGTGGCAGAGCAGGGAATTGAATCCGGGTTTCCCAAGTCCTAGTGCCCTAACCACTGGACCAGCCTTCCTCACCTTGACAATCTGTTCCGATCACCTTCACTGTTTAAAAAAATTGTATTTTCTTCCCAGAACCAAAACCCCACATCCAGACACTTCCAAGCAGAACCAGAGCTGAACATTTCAGGTCATGCCTGTCTCTGCAGTAGTTCTGAGGCATAATTCATTAATATTTGTCAAGCACTTTGAGATCCGCAGATGAAAAGCACTAGAGAAGAGCCAAGTATCCTCATTATAATAATGTTACTGCAGAGGTATCTAACCGGCTCCAGGGCTGAGATGCAGGCCTCATTACTCCATGGAATAGCTTTGGCCAAGTGATATATGCAACAAGCAATCGGTAGGAGGAGTTAAAAACAAAAGGAGCCAGATGTTCCTCTTTCACTGGCATTGCTATAGAGAAGAGGAGACTGGGAAATAAACAGGAAAAGAACCAAGGATGAAAGGAGAGAGAACTCTCTTATGCTGCAAGGAACCTGGGGGAAAGGTCTCTTTTGAAGAATGAGTAAGAAAAGTGCATGCTCCAGAAAACGTGAGAAGGAATACTAAAGGCAATGGGGCAGATTCATCCCTTGGGTCACCCCATGGAAGTCTGCAGAGCTGTAGCAGTGCCTGTCATCCCGTCATGCCATAGAGAGAGAGATGCAGAGCTGTTTCATAGTGTCCATCACATGGGCATGCTATAGGGGCTGGGCTACAGAACTTCTCAATGTGTTGACACTGGGGCATAGGGGGAGGGACCACAGAGGTTTTTAGTCATAAAGGATGGGATTTTCAAAGGAAACCTAAGGCAGTTAGGCACTCAGATCCCATTGAAATTCAATGGGCTCCTAACTCCCTTAGGCTCTGAACACCACAGCCAAAAATCATAATAAGAGGTGAACTGGTGTTTAACCAAAGTTGGAAGACAATGTTGTTTGCTGGGGTGGCAGGCTGACTGCAATAACTCATTGACTCGGCTGCTTTGGTTTGCTTTGCCTTGCCCTTTTGTTCAGGTCCACAACTATGGGGGAGTTCTGTTAGAAGAAGACTTCAGTAACTACAACGCCCTAGTGGAGAATCCAGTCCACACGGTGTATCAAGGTAAAGTGTCCTGACAGCCCTGCCTCTCCGATGCACAGGCTGCTACATCCTATGGCAAGTGGTAGCATCAATTAGCAACTATAAATCTGAACTGCCCCCCAAACTAGGGGAGAAATGAGTGTGAGGCAGCAAAGCCCACTGAGCTGTAACCCCCGTCAAAGTACAGGCTTGTGTCCGCAGGGTACAGATCCACCTAGGGCATTAAGACTGTCCCAGTCACCTTCCTGCTGCAAACTAGTGACTGTGATGCATCTCGGTAAGTTAAGGATGCTTCCAGCATTTGACACAGGTTCATGTTTTCCTGGACAGAACAAGCCCGTATACTCTGCTCTTTGCTTGTGAAATATTAGCAAGCCCTCAAATAGCTTTGGGACTTGTGAAAGCAAGTGATGACATTTTGATGTAACGTCATCACACAGAGCCGCAACTTGACCACGTGTTGATGCCATATCGTATCCTGATTTAAGCCAGGCCATGTCATAGCCCATGAATTTTGTATAGCTTGCAAATGGCCCTTAAAAGTGGTCTACAAAGGGGAAAAACACAGGGTTATGCCCTTTTGAGCCTCTTTATGGTGGATAGAGAAGGCCTGAAGAATAATATTTTTTCCTGTTTTTCATTTATTGTAAAAATAACAGAACTGTGAAATCTGGTCATTCTGTTTTGCTGGCGGTCTTTCTTGGAGGGGCCACACATCCCTTAACTTCCTCATCCTTTAATTGCAGAGGAAGGGTATTGAATCTTTAACAAATGACCCTTTCTTCTTTTTCTGCTCATTCGGGCATTTGAGACACAGGTTTCTTAACAAAAACAAACAAAAGGTAAAGGGCCAGATTCTCAGCTAGTATAGATCAGTGTATCTTCATTGGAGTCCATGGGGTTACATTGGTTTGCAGCAACTGGCAACCTGACTCAAAGAGTTTTAAACAAACTGAATACAAATCCCTTCCCTCACACTCAGTTGTCTTTTACTTCCTTGGGTCTGTGAGGGCATAAACCTACAGGTTCAGGAGTCACCCAGAGTGTCTTTCACAACCTCACCCCATAACATAGACAAGATTTGAATTTCTGATATAAGAAACAAGCAGGAAAAAATCCTTCCAGGTCATCTTTATCCATCAAAAAGGAGAAAAATGTGTCATTATCCTATTGGAATAGGGTGGCTGCCACCCAAGTACTCCCTGGTGGCCAAGTGATCACTCTGTAGCCCCCTGCCTCTCATTCTGCTAGCTCAGTTTCCTTTCTGGAATACCAGCCCCAAGGCTACCTCCCCAGGAACCCACCACCAGAGTTAGCGCCACTCCTCTGTGATTCCTCTCCCCCGGGCACAATCTGCCCCAGTTGCTTCTCCTCTTCCTACCCTCTGACTGGCCTTTAGAGCCCAGGTGTAGCTCTGTCCCCTGTCTCAGTTGGGCTCACCTGCTCTGACACAGGGGAGCTGGGCCTGGTCTACTCACAGGGACCAGCTACCCTGGGACACCTGTCTTTTAAGAAATCTTTTTCAAATCTCCTATAATTACCTTCCTACATTTGAAATTATTGTTTTCCTTTCCTTGGATGACAGCTCACAGTAAAGTGTTAAAGATAGAACAGTCCTATAAAACCTTGACAAAGTAGCTTCTAATGTGAGTAACTGTATTCCTCTCCTCTCACCTTGACAGGACACCTTGTTCTCAGCCCTCCACCTCCACATGCGGGTCCTGCACTGATCACAGCTCTAAATATCCTGGAGGGCTTTAATATCACAAGCCAGGTAACCAGGGAAAATACCCTCCATTGGATAGCAGAGGTAAGACTGAGCTAACCACTTGGCTAAGTTTTCTGTGTTGATGTAAAAGGGCTTTATTTGCCTAAAGATTGTGCAGAGAATTTACATAGGTAACTCCTGCTGGCGTTTATGGGAAAACAGCCTGCTAAGATTTAAATCTGGGCTTTGACGTTGTACCAGACACATGCAGCTACTGAGTCTCTTGATTATCTGAGCCCCTTTTGCTTGAACAAAACTCCTTGCAAAGGAGCAGCTATATTGCCATTTATTTCCTGTATGCAGTCATTGCCACAGCTGAGGACAGTCCTGTCTATTTCCTCATTGTTAGATCAGTGTGACGAGCCACTTAGTTATTGACTTTAACAGAGGACTCTTAGCAGATGGCGGTATTATAGCCTGTGTGCTTCATGTTTGTGACTGGGATTTGGAAGTCAAGAGGAAAGCCTATGCCGTTCAATCCTTCCCAGGTTTACAGTGAGCCCAGTGCCTGCTGGATAGGACTTCGGGAGTTTTAGTGAGCACTGTGTAGACCAGGGGTTCTCAAAGTGGGGGTCGGGACCCCTGAGGGGGTCACCAGGTTATTACATGGGGGGGTCACAAGCTGTCATCCTCCATCCCAAACCCTGCTTTGCCTCTAGCATTTATAATAGTGTTAAATATATTAAAAAGTGTTATTAATTTATAAGGGGGGGGGTCGCACTCAGAGGCTTGCTATGTGAAAGGGGTCACCAGTACAAAAGTTGGAGAACCACTGGTGTAGACAGATACCCGTACAGGATGGAATTCACCACCTTGCAAAGGGCCCTCCTTACTATTTAAGACCTGTATAAGTCTTGAGCAAGGTCTGAAGCATTTGGCTTTTAAGGCAGGGTGTAAGTGAGATTTGCATCCAGACTCAGTGCCTTGAACTGAGGAGGAAGCAGTAACCAGAGACGTAACAGGTATTTGGAGTAAAATAAGCTGATGTAAATAGACAATATTCAAAGTGCAGCTATAGTCAGAGAAGTAACTCAGTGAACACAACAGTGGGTGATTTTCAAAAACCTTTTTTAAGGCTTTGCAGTTTACCTTTAAAACACAGCTGTTCTAATATTGGTGGCAATGCAAAGACTTTTGGGGGCCTGATTTTTAAAGGGGCCTTAATTTGTTCCAGTGGTACCAACTCTGGCAATTTTATTGTGAGTCTAGCAATATTTGGTGTGGGTTTATTTTTCCTTCGAGCCCAGGTTCTGAAGTCATGTGATCATTTGAGAACCTCAGCTGTCATTTTTTAAAAATAAATTCTAGCCCTCATACTTGTGGAGAAAAGCCTGAAAATGTGACCCGAGTGCACCCCAAGACCACCAAACCCAGAGCACAAATAAAAAGAACCAATGTTTATTATTTTTAAAATGTCATGGTTTTTAAGCCAATCTCCTGATTTTGGGGGCTTGAGTCATGTTTTTTGAGTGCTTGGGGTTGCCAATATTGTTGGTCTCCCTTTTTATGACTGCAGTTTGCCCCTGCAAATAATTGCAGTTTCGTATGCAGCCACACAGACACCTAACTACCTGATCTGTGAGCACAGATGTCTACAACACACCTGTTGGTATTGGGGCTTTAAAGCAAATTGCAGAGTTGCTAAGCTGTTGGCTGAGGTTCTGTGCTGCACCCACTGGAAATGCAGCACAGAAGGTGCAGGCCAGGTGCAGCAGAAGGAAAAGTTCCTTTAAGTAAGGCTTGCCGGCTGGGCCTTAGCTGTCCTGTGTCCTGCCTGTTCTGGGGGAGCTGGGGGAATTCTTTTCTGGGCGCCTAAGGGGCTTTTACAACCCTTGCCCTTGGCTGCTAGCTCGCACAAAGGAAAATCCCTCCCATAGTGTCTTGACTAGTGGAAAGCAGCAGTTTTCCAACTGTGAATTTTTTGTATTGTACATCAGAAGATAAATTATGACTCATAAAGAGGAATTGTTTAGGCACCACACATGACAAAACATAATAGACATTTTGGCTATAAATCTAAAGGATTAAGCAGTGACTTGAACCTAGAATGAAAGCAACACCAACTTGAAACTGAAATCTCCCAATAAATTGTCTTAGTCCCCTGCCCATTTGACTGAAAAGCACGTTTGTTCTTGTAACTCTGCCTTTGGCAATGGATCATAAAGCTGTCATGATCCTAAGAAGCTGTCAATCAACCTGAGTCAAATCACAACAGTTGTGGAAGGGTGTCACGGAGTCCCTGGGCAATGCTCTGGAACTGCTCCCTACGAAGCCAGTCAGGACCCTGGTGAAGTCTCCTCTTTGTGGACAGACTGTCTTCAGGGCAAAAAGCTCACACGGCTTCCACCTTCCTGGGTCTGACCTCGGAGCATTTAGCATCTTCTTCCCCTCCGTGCGCTTCCCACAGTGAGTCCGCCCAGGCCGGGTCCTGGGGAAGCCAGAGGGTCCTGCACCCCAACTTCTCAGTCAGATGTGACTCTCAGCCAGCCAGTAAAACAGAGGTTTATTAGATGACAGGAACATGGTCTAAAACAGAGCTTGTAGGTACAGAGAACAGGACCTCTCAGCCGGGTCCATTTTGGGGGGCAGTGAGCCAGACAACCACGTCTGCACTTCACTCCACGTCCCCAGCCAGCCCAAACTGAAGCTCTCTCCAGCCCCTCCTCACCTTTGTCCCTTTCCCGGGCCAGGAGGTCACCTGATCTCTTTGTCTCCAACCTTCAGTTGGCACCTTTGCAGAGGAGGGGCCCAGGCCATCAGTTGCCAGGAAGACAGGGCATCGGCCATTCTCTCTGCAGACCCCTGCACACACCTGCCCTCTAGGGCCCTGCAACAGTCACACACCCTTATCCCACCACTTAGATACTTAAGAACTCCATATGGGAAACTGAGGCACCCCCACAGTATTCAGAGAAAACATTAAGAACATTCCCCCTTCGTCACAAAGGGAACAAAATGTGCATGTACACTAGCTGTGGGCTAACACTTCTCCCTCCTTTCTGTAGTTAATTGAAACCAGCTTATCAATCTAAACTGCATTTTAAAACGTGGGTGGATAAGTTGGCTCTTGGTGGCACATCTTCTTTGCCCATGTGTGAAAGCTTGGCCTACCTGGCCAGCTTCTGTGTTCGTGAAGATGTCCTGTCTCTGGGGCGGTGGGTATAAGAGGCACCTGGGCCATAAAACCCTGCCCGCGCTTTGCCCCGAGGCCCCGCTTCAAGTCGTCCTCTTCCTCTATGGCACTGCCTGCATTGCTCCTCTTCCCCAAAGGACTGTCCCCCACCCAGCACTTGCACCTCTCCGCCCCCTGCCCACCAAAGAACAGTAGTCGGGGGGACCTTGGGGGTGGGGCAGAGAGGTGCGAGCGGTGGGTGGGGGGCACTTGGGGGAGGGGGTGGAGAGGCACGGGCAGGGGGACTTTGGGGGAGAGGGCTGAGTGGGAGTGGGGCCTGGGGTGGCATGGGGGTGGAGCGTGGGCAGAGCCTCGGAGGAGGAGGCCAAGCTGGGGGAGGGCCTCAGGGCAGAGTGGGGGGGGGTCATGGTCCAGGCATCAGTGGGCCCCCCCCACACACACTTCTAGGGAGCTTCCGGTGCTCATGCCCAGGCTCCCCAAATGCAGGAGTCACGCACCGCCCATGCATGTCTCCATTGTCCTTTTAAAATGCTGGCCCTTTAAATGTTCTGGGGTTAAAATTTTCCATTCAAGCCACGTGGGTGACATATAATTAGAAATAGTGGTAGCAAAAAAAGAAAAGAATTCCTGTTTTGTGGCAATGGGATGCTGGTGGAACTGTGCATTAAGAGCACGTGCTGCTCCTGCAGCAGGAGTCTCACGGGAATCCGGCATGATATTTGGTGTTGTGATGAGTGCGCTACGAAGTGGTGATTACCAGCTGGAAGATAGAGGGAAGGTAACAGATCTAATGGTTGTGTTTCTTACACGGGAGTGTGCTAGCACGAGTCAGATGACCAGATAGTGCGTACGTACATTTCACCTTGGCCATCAACTGTACAAATGTTGTTGGGTATACCCCACTTTCATGTAATGCTGCCTGCAATGTAAAGCTCGTGTCCCTTGGTTGTCTTGTCTGTACGCTTTACTTCTGCGCATTGAGGGGTAGCAAGAAATCTTGGCTTCATACACCTGGCCTGTGGAAAGGCAGTCTTCGTCAGCTAGATCTGCCTTTGAGGCAACAACACTTTATAATACCCGTGGAAGCTTGCTGCTCAAGATGGTGGTTACTGTAGGGAGTTGGGGCAAAATGGAAGCTGGATCCGACATGCCAGAAGAGTAAGTGCCACTCTCCATCTGGACAGTGGAAGGTGAGACTTCCAGGGCCACCTAAATGTTTCTCTTTGTTTCTTTCTTTGTGTTCAATTTAGACATTAAAAATAGCACTGGACCTAGCTAACAGCTTGGGAGACCCAGTCTGTGACGCATCCGTCTACCATAGTGTAGAAGACATGGTCAGGTACGTCTGAGTCTGAGGAATGCTTTGGTGAATAAATGAATATGAATCATTGTAATAATCCTGTTGTACAATTCAATCTGGTCCTTGTTCTGTGTGTCTTTTTATGTTCCACTGATGAAAGGCTGTGCTGTATTCAGGGGTGATCAATGTATCCACTTATTTCACAGCCCGTATTCACTGGAGCAAAAACAAATTTGGGCGTTGCAATGTGGTTTCCTAATTTAGATTCTTTCTGTAACAGGCTAAACCCTGATGTTTATGATCCATTTTTAATTCTCTAAAATCCCTTCTCTGAGGCTCAGGCGGAGGCACCTAGCTCCTATCTGAGCCCATTCAGTGCCAATCAGAAGTTGTACGCAAAGGACACTGTCTGTGATCCCTCCCTCCCTCCCTCCCTCAACGCCCAGAATGGCACTTCCTGTCTCCCTAATGCTGTCTGCTAAATCTGGGATTGAAACATTCTCTCTCCTATCTCAAAGCAGGTTTTAGCCATGATCAATGCAATGGTGCTGGATGCAGTTCATCTACGACTACACTTGCAGCTGCACCGTGTTCAGTGCTGGTTCAGCGGCAGCCATTGCTGACCCCTATGGTCAACAATGGGTAATTTTGCTTGTGTAGACAAGGCCTTTCTGTATAACAAGAACACAGTGAAGTAAGGTCTTATTTACACATCAGACGAATCATGCTAAGGTCTGATTCCTGTTGGAGAGACATGCTACAGCTCTTCCATGAATAGGTCAAAGCACAGTGACACCATTAGGAGCTGTGCCTAAACCATGTTGTGTGTGGACATAATTTGATCAGGAACAAACTATGCTATAACCTACTTACAAACTCATTAAAATATGGCCTAAGGGCCCAATCCCACTGCAAAGATAACTGTAACCAGGATGCAATGCTTTCGACTGGCCCCTATCAATCAAAGCCTTTCCCATTCTGCTGTAAAAGAAAGCCTGTATGCTATACAAAGCCCTTCCTGGGGTTTGGCTTTATTAACAAAGAAATGAACAATAATACCACATAAAATTAGCTCAAACCTTCTTCCCAGACCTGACTGCTCCTAGCGTTCCTCCCTCAAGGCTGCTCAGCACACACCCTAGATCAGAGGTGGGCAAACTATGGCCCGTGGGCCACATCGGCCCGCGGGACTGTCCTGCCTGGCCCCTGAGCTTCTGGCCTGGGAGGCTAGCCCCCGGCCCCTCCCCTGCTGTCCCCCCCCCCGCAGCCACGCCGCCGTGTGGGCAGTGCTCTGGGCGGCGGGGCTGCGCGCTCATGCAGGGCCGAGCGGTAGCATGTCTGACTCTGGCATGGCTCCCAGACATGCTGCTCTGAGCGGCATGGTAAGGGGGCCGGGGCCGGGGGGTTGGATAAGGGGCAGGGAGTCCTGGGGGCCAGTCAGGGAGCAGAGGGCGGTTGAATAGAGGGTGGGGTCCTGGGGGGGCGCTTAGGGGCAGGGGGTCCCAGGATGGGGCGGTCAGGGGATGGGGAATAGAGGGCGGTTGGATAGGGCAGAGGTTTGGGGGGGGCAGTCAGGGGACGGGGAGTGGGGGGGGTTATACAGGGGGTGGAGTCCTGGGGGGCGGTTAGGGGCAGGGGTCCTGGGAGGGGGCGGTGAGGGGACAAGGAGTGGGGAGGGGTTGGATGGGTGGGGTGTTCTGAGGGGTGTGGGAAGTGGGAGGGGGCGGATAGGAGACGGGGGGCCAGGCCGTTTGGGGATGCACAGCCTTCCCTACCCGGCCCTCCATACAATTTCGCACCCCAATGTGGCCCTCAGGCCAAAAAGTTTGCCCACCTCTGCCCTAGATTCTCTTTCTTCAGAGGCCTTCCCACCTCATTTATAGCCAGGTGGGGTCATGAGCACAGTAATGTGTGCCTCACTGAATTAGTAGAAAATAAATTAACCTGTAGCAGAATCAACGCCTGCTAAGAAGGTGGGGTGTTCCCGGCTGGCAGGGGTTGCCGGATACATTTGATTACAAAAATCATAGTAGGGTAGCACAGCACCTTTTTTTTACAACACAACTATGTGTCAGCTGCTTTTGTGTATCCATTCTTAGGGTGTCCCGACAAAGACCCGCGGGAGTCGTCACCTTCCTTCCTTTTGACAGCCTCACATGACTATTATTTATATTGTGGTAGCACCCAGGAACCCTAATCATGGACCAGGACCCCATGGTAAAGTCATAATGAAGCTCCATCATTCTCGCCCGCCACGCGTCCACTGAACCTCACTGAACTCTGGGAAACAGGGCGGGTGCTTCAGCCTACCGTACGGCGAACGAATGGTCCGGAGCAACGACCACAGAGTTGCCTCCCCGATGTGGTGGCTGAGACGTCTCATTTCCTTCCATTTGATACGCCAGAGGAGCCCGCTTTTCACAGTGAAATTGAATAACCTCCATTCCTTCCAGACACATCCAAGGGGCCTGTGATGAGTACTGCCCAATGGATTTATATATTAGATGGGCCCTAAAGAGAAGATGCTCTGCTTTCTAAGCTCACTGCTTTTTCACCCCCATATCCTCTCTTGTCATTGCAGTAAATCAAAGGCAGGTTTCCTGCGTCAGCTGATTAATGACTCCCAGTCCTTCCCTTCTGGTATCAATATTCCACACTTCTCCATGGAGAGTGGCCCCCCTGCTAGCCAGGTCCTTGTTATGGGACCCGATGACTACATTGTTGCAGTTGTAAGGTAAAGGATTTAGTTTTTCAGCCCGGGTGGGTTTAGAGATGGGAGAGCAGAGAAAAGAAAGTTCATTCAGTGTAGTGATGAGAGGAATGACTCTAGAGATTGGTCATGACAGACCTATCCCCATCACCTAATGCTCACTGGTTCAGCCTAGATCCTTGGTGATTGCAAGTCATTGCCATCTATGGCTGTTCAATGGCCTATCTGAAATAACTTGGTGGTCTTAGTCTAGTTCCTAATGGAGAGGTGTTCATATCACAGATTTCCACCTCTACCTGCCATCCTTAGCAGAGCGTCCCAAGATGACGGGAGCATGAAGCCTGAAATAGCTTCTCACTTAGAGGTGACAGCTCCAGGTCTGTTGACAGGGCTGTGTGGAAGAATCTTGCACTGCTGCTACCCATGCTGTACCTGTTCTATAGACACACAGAGACCTTCATTGTTTGGGGTTATCAGGCTGGCACCTTTCACCATCACTAAAAAAAACCTATGGAAGATTCCCCACCAAGTTTGAAGGGGGAATCTGGGGTAGTGCTCTGACAGTACCGAGTCTTGGGAGTGTTATATGAATTATTGGAAGGTTTTTCAGAGGGTTTCTTTGTCTTCCTTTTCAGTTCCCTCAATCGTCCATTTGGAAGTGGAATAATAACACCTTCTGGAATCCTTCTAAACAGTCAGATGTTGGACTTTTCCTGGCTGAATAGTACATTGAACTACTCCTCTCCTGGCCTGGTAATGAATTCCATGAATTTGAACTCTTTTGATTTTGACTATTTTTATTCTCAAATAACTTCCACACAAAAAAAAAGAGGCTATTTATACAGGCTGAGCTCTCTAGCTTTCTCTTCACTTTCCATGCTATCCAGCAGAGAAATAGAATATAGACTACAGGAGGAGGTTACCTGTATGTGTGATCTTGCTACATGAAATATCATAGTATTGCAAGGAAACCATATAGAGTCTAGCATGACTGCCATGTAGAAAGCACACTTCCCCCAGGCTGATCGCACATTATATTGATTGGAATTAAGGATTATATTTGAAAATTATTGCTCTCCAGCTTGAAAAAGTGATAAACAATGGAAACCACATCCTAAGGTCTCAGACAGAGAACAGCATTGACCACTGCTGGTCACTTCCTGTGCTAAACTGTTGGGTGGTTTTGCTATGCACTGTTAAACAGTTGCCACTTTCCACCCCAGAGGTGGCTGTATTTTAGCAGTGGGTAAAATGACTTCTGTATATAGTTTGTAAAGGGCTTTGAGTGCCTTGGAATGAAAGGTACTAGATAAATGTAAACTAGTAAACTAGATCACTTGATGATTACCTGTTCTGTTCATTCGCTCTGGGGCACCTGGCATTGGCTGCTCTCAGAAGCCAGGGTACTAGGCTAGATGGACCTTTGGTCTGGCCCAGTATGGCAATTCTTATGTTCTTATAGCAGTGAGAATGGCATCATAATCAAGCCAATAGTATTAGGGTTACTGACTCAGAAATGAAAAGAGAAACAAGTTAACAAGCAATTTGGGCTATGGAAAATCTTTGTTCTGATCTGTTTACTAGTTTTGGGGGGTATTTTATTTTATTCACCAACAGAGGAATCTCATTCAGCCTGGAAAAAGACCCCTTTCCTTTTTACTGCCCACTATTGTTCGACCATCAGAAGGGATGTGTGGGACTTATCTTTGTCTGGGAGCTAACAATGGCGACAAAGCCTTGAGCAGCATTACGCAGGTCAGTTTTGAGTACTGCATCTGAGCATATTCTGAACCACCTGCAATGGGGACGGCCCAAGCTATCTTCCAGTGTTTCTTCATGTTGGCATTTGCATTCTCTGCCCCATGGGCAGCGGGTGGACCACCCCTTCGGGGAGGCTAGCCCCACAACCCTACCCCTTCCGCATGAGCCCCCACGGCCAGAGCCCTGAGCCCCCACGCCTCTCCCTTCCCCCAGCCATAGCCAGACAGAACCCCGAGCCGCCCTCCCAACCCCCACCTCCAGAGGAGCCCTGGGCCGGCTCCAGCCTGCCAACTGATCCAAGCCCCAGCCGGAGCAGTCCCAGCCATGCCAGCCAGGCTGGGGCCAGAGCAGCTCCAGTTCAGTGTCCCACAGCTGCATGCTCTGCCCTGAGGGTTTCCTACTCCAACATGTTGGTTACCAGAACAAACATGAAATACACGATTCCTGGTTTTGAAGAGGTTAGAATATTGTCCTAATGTGCATTTAGCTCTGCTTCAAGGTAACAGCCCATGGAGACTGAAGTCCTCTGGTAAAACACAGGCGGTGGTGTGATGTGGCAGATGAGTTTCACTTGAAACGATACTCCCGGTTGAGTTATCTTCAGGGCATGAATGTAGGACCTGTGGGTCTAAAAGCATGAGCTCTACTAGTTGAGCTAAAGGAGCATGTCTAATAGTCCAGTGGAAGCTGTTGGCTCATATATGGTCAAGCCACACTGTGTGAGCGTAGGTTAAGCTTCCTCTTCCCCCACCTGCTGTCCCAAAGCACCTCGCATCGGTTCTAGAGGGAGAGTCACCAGGGTAGAAAAGAGAGCTCTGTTTCCCCCATTCAATCTTTGTACTTTCTGCTGAGGCTACCAAGAAAAATATTAACTGTTGTCAATGAGCAACAACTTTCTGTTGCTACTAGTCAGTCTGGATCCAAACTGGTGATCTAGAAGTGGTCAGATCAGTCCTCTGAGCCATGCAGTCCTGGTTAATTGGTAAACTAAAGCTACATTTGCTGTGGTTTGTCCATTCTTTTCACTAAGGGCTTGTCTACATGGCTAGTTAGGGTGTGAATGTACAGCACTATGGAGCTTTTCGTGCACGGTACCAAGGTCCATAAGGCTAGTTCATGACAGGCTAGTGTGGTGTACATCCACAACCTGGCTTGCTGCGCGCTAACTAGCTGTGTAGGCAAGCCCTGGAACAAAGTTGTGTGCCTTCTCTGATGACGGCTCTCAGAAATATGGGAAGACAGAATCTTAGCAACCTCCATAAAGGTTTTATGACCTTCTATGACCTATTTAAAGATCATATTCGTAAAGAATTGTAGAAAATAGAGCTGTTGTGTTGTGAGAACTGCAGGAGGATGGGAATGGAATTTTGGTTCTTATCCCCAACAGAAGTTCAGTTTAGCACATTCCTTCAAGAAATCCTTTCTACTGTGAGTTCTGCAAATAGCCCTTCCTAATTTATCACTTGTAATGAGACGGAGCACTTGCCGATGGCATGACTGTATATATAACAGCACTGGATTATTAAAAGGCAAAAGGCAGAACTCAACTTTACTCTGAGTGACTTTACCTCATCGAAGGCATTAGTCAGAGGAAGATTAAAGCCACCCACTTGCCTCCTAATGTTCTATCAGAAGGGTTCACTTTTTGGTCATAAAAAGACCTTTTCAGAGATTTTCCTGGAGTTTCAGCCTCATGACTCCTGCTTATTTAATGGGAACTATTTGCAAAACCTCATGCAATTCTAGAAATATATCCCTTAGGGACTAATTTTTTTTAAAAAGGGCCTCCAAAAATTTGCCTGCAGTATCTTCAGGTGCACCTATTTACATATATAAAAACATGCATTTTGTTCATGCAAAGTGGGTAATTGTGCAAAAAAAGTCTGTTTGCCTGTGTACATTGGTACATTTGAAAATGTTGGGGTTGCAAATTAGGAAGCTGCTTTGGATGCTTATTCCTTAGTGTTTGAATCAAGTTGTTAAATTTGGAGTCTTTTTCTTCTGTAGGTTTTAGTAAATGTTTTAACACTTAACAAGAACCTGAGTGAGAGTCTGTCACTGGGTCGGCTGCACCCACAGCTTCAATCCAACATCCTGCAAGTTGACAGTGAGTATGGAGATCAGCACCGATCTTGGTAGACAACATTTCTATCATGGCAAAAAAGAACGGGAATTTTCTTGTACATCTGTGTTTGCTCTGCAGTCTGCCTCAAGGAGACTGCATCTGTTTAAATGTACAATGCGGCTGGTGGGGAGAGGAAGTCCATTTCAAATTACAGCGTGTTTAGGAATAAGGATTGGTGGGTAGGAGGGACAAATTTAAGGGACACAAAGCCAAATTTAAAATTCTAGCAATTTAGTCAATTTCTTTTACTCCTTCAACTTTCACCAATATGGGTGAAATTGACTGGCATTACTTATTCCATGATTCCCAAATCCTTCTTGTCATTCTTGTTGGACATGGGATCCAGCATTTTAGAACATTGTCTCATGTGCATCAAAGAAAGCAAAGGATTTGGAGATCACAGGACAAGTCACCAGTTGGTGGATTTTGTTTCTGTAGGTAAAAGCTAAAGAAATAGACAAGTTCTAATTTAATGTTTTGAATTATAAAAGGGACTGTGTGTTCCCAGCTTGGTGTGGAGTGGTTAGGATGAATCCTGGTGTGCAGAAAAGAGATGGCACATGCCATAGAAGAGCTGTGCTCTCGTGTTATCCGTATGTCCAGTTTCAGTACAGCCCGGAGGCCTCCACGCAGAAACATCCCACAGAGCTGACAGTTTTACGCAGAAGTCTTGCTTTCTGTTCCTGTGTCTATGCATCGCCATACTTAGCCATTTTAAGTCTTCATCACATGCAAACTGTGAAGTGTATATCCAAAGAGACAGTCGTTACGAGCAGGCATTTTTGAGCACCTTGTGTACAGGATAAGCAGTACTTGTACATTATGCTCAGCAATGAGATAATAGTGACCACACTGAATTGAAACAAAACAATAATGAAGTATCATAGACATTGGAGATGGCAAAGATATATTGGGCTAACATATTATTTTCCCAACCAGTTTCGGATTGGTCCTTTCTGGCTAATCTCCAGTGCTTTATCCAGTCCAAATGTCCCAAAGTGATGGGGTTACCCCCATCCCTCTGTTGAAGAGTTTTCCATAGTCTGGTAGATCTCACCATTAGCACATTTCTCCTTTGCTTAATGTCATCGCACTCTTTCTAGCTACAGCCCTTTATTCTCACCAATTCCTCTCCTTTCTTGGTGGTCACACCCTTCAAATACTCATTTTCCCCTCCATCATCATTTGGCCAACCTGTATGTGTTCAGTGTCTTCCAGTCTTTCCTCATAAACCATTCACCTGTCTCTTAATAATTGTTTTGCTCTTCTCTGAAGACACCTCCAGTGTACTGAGGTCGTGGCACCATGTGTATCCAAATGAATGAGGCAAGACCAAGAACATGTCTTCAAACTGGCAGTCCTTTAATGTAGCCAGTCTTCATACACAGTGGTGCCTGCCTCTCCTAGAGCTAGCTACAGGCAGCGTTACCCCCCCCCAAATACTTTTTCTTTTACTTTCCATTCCCCGTGCCCATATCTCTGCTCACCTACAACCTAGCTGGCAGGAAGAAGAAACCCATGATAATATCTTTCTGGTTGTTATGTGCCTAGAACTCTACCAGTCTAGAGGTCCTTGCAATGTTGCCAACTTTCCCAAGTTTATTGTGAGTTTCACGTTATTCGGTATTTTTCTTGAAGCTCCATGTCCTAGAATCCTGTAATTATGTGAAGATCTCTGCTTTCATTAAAAAACAACACCACCCCCCTCCCCAAAGTTTCTAGCCCTCATAGTTGCAGAGAAAAGCCTGAAAATGGGACTGGAATGTAATTTAAAAGCTCAGAAACCAGAAGACAATAAAAAATATCCAAAATTTACTATTTAAAAAAACTTCATGTTTTTTTTGTGGCCTGAGTTATGATTTTTGAGTGCTTCAGGTAGATTATACTCTAAACCATACTCTTACCTACACTTTATATAGGTATAGTTACCATAAGATTTTTACTTATCTGCTTAGTTTGTGATGTTGTATCCTGAGCCAATTTGCAATCACACTGCAGTATTTATATTAAAATTGTGAAAGCACAACAAATAACAAAGCAGGGGAGGTAGGTAGAGAAAGGCAGGGTTATATGAAGGGAGCCAGGGAAGAAACTGCACTGTAGTTTATAAGGCTTGTACTTCTTGGCAGCTTGCATTTTTTGTTGTGTGTCTGTCTTGCCTTTGTAACTGAGAGTTCTTGGGGCAGGCACTGTCTTCTGTTCTGTGTGTGTACATTGCGGCCTCCAACTCTGGCTGGGGCCCTTCAGCACTACTGGAATACAAATAATAAATTATAGGTGAAATTCAGGTGTGTCTCAGCTCTTAAATAATCTTGGTGTAAAAAAATATGTCTTAAATTATCAAAAACAAGAAGTGATTTGGGGGGCCCAATTTGAGACTCCTGAATGGGGCCTTGATTTTCAGAAATAGCTGAGCACCTGGAGCTCCAATTGCCTTCAACTGAAGTTGCAGGTACTTGGCTGCTTGGAAAATCAGGCCCCAGTTATCTTAAGCGGGGCACTCAAAACCTGAAGCATGCCAAGTAGGGAGCACTTTCTTGTTCCAGGCAAAGAGATTTCCACTTTGGCTTTACAGGCTCGAGAGATTCAGAGAAGCATCTCAACTTTTGACCCAAATCTCTGAACCTTCTGAAGTTCACCCATTAGTACTTTTTGCCACACAGTTTATAAGGGGCATGAAAGACTTCTCCTCTTGAGCTTAGGAAGAGGGGTGCTAGTTTCTATTGGTTATGTGAAGAATCTGAATGGTGCTGCTTCTAAACCTACTTTTAAGGTGGACTATAGCTTTCCCCATACTCCTGTTTAATTCTGATAGCCCTAATATTTTATCCCGAATTAATCCCAAAGGCCTACAGTGAAGCCTACAGTGAAGTTCTGTCTGCTGGATTTTCATTTTCTTGCCCCACATTTATCTTATTGTCAATTTTTGCAATGGCAGCAGTTTATTTTCCCCTTTTGTTGAGAAGGAGCATCCTCCACATCCCTCAGTGATCCTCACATATCTCCCATTCCCACCCCCACCCTCACTCAACACTGCCTACCTTGACAATGCCCCATTAGACACTGTCTTTGCTGCTGAGGATTGGGTGTGCTCTCTTGAGACACTGCTTCTTACTAGGCCATTGAATTTGTACTCTTGTGATGCCTCTCTGCCTTCCAGATCCCTAAGAGTAGGACACTGATGGGCAGGTTCATTGGCACAATGGATTAGACATTTAAGGTAAGAACTTGGAACTCATGCAATAATGGCTTCAATTAGAATAACTTTGTCTAAAATCTTAACAGGTGAATTTCCTGAAGAAGATATTAAATTTCTTGAATCCAGGGGTCATCAAGTAGATAAAGTCGATGTGCTTTCCCTGGTTCATGGAGCCAGGAGAACCAACAACTTCATCATTGGTGTGAAAGACCCAAGAAGCATGGATGCTGCAGGAGCAACAATATTATAGCAACCTCCATTTGGTGCGTTCATTGGATAAAGCTTTAAACAACAACAACAAAAATTATGTGCATGTTCTGAAATGGCCCAGGGAGGAACGAGCAGTGTTTGCTGTGGGTTTCTGCATTGTTGAATAGACCTTCTGCATTCCCCACCTCAAACAATGCAACAGTGGCTGGGAAAGCCACAACACAGCCCTTTGATTTTGTAAAAAAATAATTTGAGTTGTAATAATCTCAGTTGTTATTAAAGGAATGCAGGGAATACACTTTTACTTTGACAATGACCCATTAGTGATTTCAGTCATTTTCAAATTAAACATTTTAATTTAACCAACAGAAACATTAGCAAAGAAGATGACAAAGAGAACAAAATATTTTGTGCCAAACAATTACTGCTGAGGCTGTAATTTTCAACTCCCTCCTTTCCCTGGCTTGACACCCTTATCTCACATAAATCAATATATAATATAGATTGATGTACTGGCTCTAGGCAGTCATACATGGAACTTCAGGGATTTCTTTAATATTCCCTGTGGGTCAGCTGATTTTTACTAGCATGGATATTCCTATATCAATTCCCATTCATGCATCACTACACATCTTTAATACCCTTATGTCTCCTTCACCCTCAATGTTTTGAATTAATTTACTGCATAGACTCACTGGGGATCTGGACTTGGAGTCAGACTACATCTACACTGGCAAAAGTGGCACCCAGAATTTACCACTAGTGCCCCCAAAAGAGGTCCACTGGGGGTGGTCACAGTGCAAGTTGTAATGTAAAAAGAGTTCATGTAGAGTCAGGGCTTTTTTAACACTGTCTCAGCTAACCCTGCTCTGAAAACGTGAGTCCCTTGCTTGATTGAGCCCCAAATTCATGCCAACACTTCAAACCAGTGCTTAAGTTATAACGTAAGTTATAGAGATAAGACAGGAAACAAAGCAAAAACTACTTACGTAATATTTTTTAGAGTCCCCAACATCCAAGACAGGTTGAAGGAAGCATTCAGCATTTGACCTGTCAATAAAAATGAGGAAATAAACAGCGTGATCATGATCATTGCACAGATTGATTCTGGTCACCTTTTGAGCACCTCCTTTTCTTTCCACCAGTCAGTTCTAGACAGTCACCCAGCACTTTAAGCTTTTTTAAAATGATTTTTGTCATTGTTTTCACAGCCTATCGTGTACTGGTTTCCTTCATGATGTTAATATATCTATGGCCACTGTACATACTATATATGTATGTCTGCTTATGGTTGTCTTGGTATTTCATATGATGCTTTTATGAAAAGGATTCCAGATCTTGTCACCTCAGACAGACCAATGAGCTGGAATCTTGTGAATACTGTTTTGTTCATATTATATCAGGGGTGGCCACACTGTGGCTCGCGAGCCACATGCGGCTCTTTGACTGTTATACTGCGGTTTGAGGAGCCTGCCCATTCTCCACCTACCAGACTGGGGGAGGGGAGCTTGGGACCTCTGCCTTGCAGCGGGGTGGTGAGGTATGGGTTTCTGCCCAGTGGGGAGGGGGCTTCAGCCCTGCAGAGCACACCTGCCAGGGCTCAGGGATTCAGCAGGAGCAGGGCTGAAGCCCTGAGCCCTGGCAGGCGCCTCTCGCAGGGATGAAGCCCTGGGTCCTGGCAGGCGCACCCTGTCTCTCAAACTTCTGAAGATTGTCGTATGTGGCTCAGAGGATCAGTAAGTTTGGCCATCCCTGTATTATACCTTTTTATGGCTCAAATGCGGTTTAATGACGGGAGTATGCAGTATCTTCTTCAGGGGATCAATGAACTAACAGATTATCAAACTAATAATTCTTTGCACTTATGTAGTTTCTGTTAGCCGAATATCTCAAAATTTTACAAACATGAACTAATAAAGTCACACAACACCCTGTTGTGGTAGGAAAGACATACCAGAGAGATCCCTTTCATGCACTACTGAAATGCAGACACCTCTAAGGTAGAACAAGGTGGCTATTAAGCAGACATGAATAAGCAAAAATATTTTCCATCACAAATCATAGAATCATAGGGTTAGAAGGGACTGCAAGGGTCATCTAGTCTAACCCCCTTATCTAGTCTAATTCCTATGACTCAGTGTGGGTCAGTCATCAGCCAAGAAGTTCTGCAGGAGAAAGGAGAAGTGCTGTAGTGAAAGCAGCATGCCGCTTTCATAACACTACGCATGGTTTGGAGCAGACTTTGTAAGGCTTACTAGGGAAGGGAGGGAGGCATTTTTGTGCCTTGATCCTCATGGGCTGAAATCTGGGATTTTTCTAGGACAGTGACAGCAATGATCTATCCCCCATATATGGAGGTTTACTGAACATGATTGTAAAACAAATGTTCCAGGAATTGTTCTTTATAGTGCTCCAAAAGAGTGCACATTACTTAACAGCTCAGTTGGAAAGATAAAAGTCCTATGTGCCAATTGAATTCTTCTTTTCACCAGTATAGTTCTGACGCTGAGCCCTGAAGGTCCTTTTACAAGTAAAGACACTGGTTCTGATCCAACAGAGCACTTAAGTGTCCCAATGTGGAGTTTCAGTAGGATTATTCAAATGCAGTAAAATTAAAGCATTTTCCTAAGTGCTCTGCTGGATCAGGGCCTATACTGCAAAGGTGAGAAAATGAAAAGAAACAGGGAGATGGTATTATACCCAAAGGCCACATCTAACAGAAACAAAGGTCTTATGAATAGTTTTCTATTCACTCTGGTTAAAAAGTGGTGTCAGGATAGCATATATTTGACAAAGAGTCACTGGTCATTGAAGCTTGGTCAGAAAATTTCTGCTAGGACCAGCATCTCTAATCTTGGTAGTCAATCTAGTATGGCAAGATCCACTGAATTTCATTCTAGTTAATTTCAGTTTAATTAATTGTACTAGAAAATGCGTACTATTTCCTCATGTAGAAATGAGACAAACATTGTGAAATTAAAGGGCCATATTCTAACCTTAGAGACAAATTCTGCTTTTAGGAATATATATGTTAATATGCAGTAATTCCATTGACTTCAGTGGAGTTACTCTCAATTTGCTACAACATGAGAGCAGAATTTGACCTGTTGTCTTTATGCAGAATTCAGCCTTGATATCACTGGGGAGCTCTCCGCAGAGAACAATAGTAAGACATGGCCCGAAGTGTTATGATGACAATTGACGTTACATTTTGGTAAAAAATGCCTTTACCATTTGTATCATGATCTTGGAAGTGACAGAAAAAGCAATGAGGGTCAAACTCTTTACCACCCCTTTACAATGTTGTAAAATTAGAGTAATACTCTATTGTACATCAGGAATAACGGAGATCAGAATCTGGCCGTGAGCATGGAGTCAATTAATTAATAATTTCCCACAGAAGCTCAATGCAGTTAACGAATGCAGCTTCAGAGCAACATTTCAGTGGCTTTAAATACAGTAGTGCATTTGCACTCCCAATTGTGTGAAACACAGACTGCTATGTATAAAGCTCTAAAGGTAAGGATATATACAATGGGTAAGAATGACATTAAGCAACCTGTGTATGTGTAACAATTATTTTGTTTTACCTTACATTCCCTCTTCTGTTCTGGAGAATCTGTTCTACCAGTACAGCCAGTGCTTAATTTGTAATGAAAGAGGTGCTGGGGCTCCGGTAAATTTTTTTTATATTCATAACAGGTTCAGCAAGCCCAGAGGTGCTGGGACTATGAACTGCCAAGTCTAGAGATGCCAGAGCTCAGCTCAGGCACAGCTTAAGCACTGAGTACAGCCATTTGTCAATCACTGACAATTTTAAAATCAAGATTGCATGTTTTTCTAAACGATCTGCTCTATGAATTATTTTGGGGAAGTTCTCTGGCCTGTGTTACACAGGAGGTCAAACTAGATTATCACAATGGTCCCTTCTGGCCTTGGAATCTATACCTCTATGAATTTTGCCTTCCTCATTCCGCCACTCAAGTCTACAAACAGTGAATGGGTCTAATTCTGATTTCACACCTGTGTAAATCGGGAGCAACTTCACTGAAATCAGTAGAGTTTATGTTGATGTAAAATGGTATAAGGGAAGTCAGAGCACCGTCAATTGGTTTTCAAAATAGCTGTGCTAATACCTTTCTTAGTGAGCTCTTGGTTCCTTGACTAAGACTGGAAAATTACGAAGCCCTTTTCCTGTATTAAGTGGCACAGCCGTTAGCTATCGGATTTGCAGTGGGGATTCTCTCTGAATTGCTGGTGGTTTTCTCTAGAACAGGTTTCAGGTAACAGCTGTGTTAGTCTGTATTCTCAAAAAGAAAAGGAGTACTTGTGGCACCTTAGAGACTAACCAATTTATTTGAGTATAAGCTTTCGTGAGCTACAGCTCACTTCAATCGGATGCATAAAAGTGGAAAATGCAGTGAGGATATTTTTATACACACAGACCATGAAAAAATGGGTGTTTTAATAAGCTATTACCAGCAGGAGAGTGGGGCGGGGGGGGGGGAGAAAACCTTTTGTCGTGATAAAACACCCATTTTTTCATGGTCTGTGTGTATAAAAATATCCTCACTGCATTTTCCACTTTTATGCATCCGATTGAAGTGAGCTGTAGCTCACGAAAGCTTATACTCAAATAAATTGGTTAGTCTCTAAGGTGCCACAAGTACTCCTTTTCTTTTTTCTCTAGAACAGTTCTGCTCAAAAATGTTGTAGACTCCAAGGCCTACCCCAGAAACTGAAGAAGGATTTGGGGCCCGATTTTCCCCTCACTTACATCAGTTTCACACCAGTGCAACTCCAGGGACTTCAGTAGATTTACTCTGGGTTTACATTAGTTTGAGGGAAAGACGAATCAGGCCTCTTAAGCATAACTAGATAAAACTCATAACCTTTTCATAGAGGACAAAATTATAGCACAAATCAGCAATAAGAAGGTTGGGTTTATTTACCTATTAAAAATCTGACTTAGTGGAAAGTGCTGTTATAGTGGGTGAATGTTTACTTTGCAATGGTTTTGAGAAAGTTCTATACATCAGCAAAGGGCTTCTCATTGTTATAGGCCAGATAAAAGAGCACATTGGGAGGGCCAGGGCAGCTTTCAGAAGGAGTAACAGATTGTAATGAGCCTTAAAAAAAAAAAAAAAAAAAAGCCTCTGTGTATAGAGCAGATGAGGAGGTTCAATGGTGGCACCTCCAATAATGAGGCTATTTGCCAACAAAGAGCCCTCCACTGTTCAGCCCTTGTGCAGAAGGGAATGATTTCCACAAGGATACTTAGTAGGGAGAAAGTCCCCCAAGGGCAGTAGCTTCTTGCAGGCTGAAGCCCTTCAAGATAATGAGGAAGTTCATCCAACTGAGGACAGTCCCTCAGCTTTGTGCAAATCCTCCACAAGAGGGGTCTCAGATCAGCAGCTGCAAGAACACTTCACAGAGCTGGTCCTTCTAGTATAGCTAACCAATACTGTGCCCATCACTTCGATAGCTACATGCTCAGCTTCCTTTTTCCTACCTAGACAGAAATATGTGCAGATTGGTAAGAAAGCAATTAAAATCTCATCAAAACATATCTGCCTCCCACTCCCTCTCCCCACATTTGTCCAAGAGGCCACATACATATTCTAGACTAGGAATTGCTCTTTGCGGTTCCACTGGGGGCATGGAGAGATTAAGTTCTTAGAACAAAATTGTAACATAGTATTTCATTTTGGAAAATCCATACATGGTCATGAATACAAGTGTAACGATGTCACATTTACTGTACAGGATCTTTTTTTTTTTTTTTTTTTGAAAATACTGACCTATGAAAATGCATTGTAATCATAGCCGTGACTTTGATTGTATTGAAATCACATGTATCTGTGTATTTTTTCACATACAATGAAAAAAGGCTTAAATAAATGCAGTTTTCTTTTTGTATTATGCACTCACAATGTACTTGTTTCATCCTTTACAGTGTTCTATTGATAGATTGCATTGTATTATTTATATCACTGTAGCACCTAGAGGCCCAAAATTGAGATCGGGGCCCCATTGCACTAGGGACTCTGTGTACATTTAGTGCAGGGGTCGGCCACCTATGGCACACATGTCGATTTTCAGTGGCACACTGCCCAGGGCCTGGCCACTGGTCCCGGGGGCTCCGCTGCCGGCCTGGGATACCGACCGCCAGGCCCCTGCCAGCCGGGGTTCCATCCACCAGCCCCGCTCAGCTCGCTGCTGGCCCCGGGTCACAGCCACCGGTCCCAGGGGCTCCACTGCTGGCCTGGGGTACCAGCTGCCGGCCCCCTGCCAGCTGGGGTTCTGGCCACTGGTCTCTCTCAGCCCACTGCCGGTCCTGGGTCCTGGCCACTGGTCTGGGGGGCTCTGCTGCTGACCTGGGGTCCAGGCCACTGGCCCTGGGCTCTGCAGCTGCCCCCAGCTGTGGCCTTCTGGCCCCAGCCTGGGGCAGTGAGGGGTGCAGTCAGGGCCAAGAGGGGGTGCAGCTCAGCATGGATCGCATGGATTATTATTACTGGCACGCGAAATCTTAAATTAGAGTGAATAAATGAAGACTCGGCACACCCCTTCTGAAAGGTTGCCAACCCCGATCTAGTGAGAAACAATCCCTGCCCCAAAGAACCTAGATCTCAGTGTATTTTATAGAAGAAGCCAGCACAGGAGCCCCAGATCCAGACATCCCCAATTTGGGTCCACATTTTGAGGCTCTACTTTTTCAACTAAACTAAATAAGATTTAGTTTGCAAGGTTAATAAATGTGCACTTCTATTTCTCATATCACGAATGTCTTTCCAGTGTTGTGGTACATTTGTTTCAAATGGAAAAACAAATGGTATATGTCGACGTGTTAAAGGGGATACTGCTCTTAACATTTAAAAAAAAAAAAAAAGAAATATTTACTCTTTTCTTACAAACAGGTGAGAAAGAGCCTCTCTTAGGACTATGCTCAAATTTCCCTCCTAGGCTACACATCCCTGTGGCTGTTCTTAAAAACACTGGGCCTGATTCTGATCTCACTCCCACCTGGGTAAATCAGGAGTAACCCTACTAAAGCCATAGGCTCGAGCAGTGCTCAGCACAGGAACAGAATGGAGGAGCCTTCGGCCACCTTTGTACTTCATATTTTGGGTCCCTTTGGCTCAAATTAGAACAGCCTCAGGAGTGAAATTCAGCTACTGGGGGAAAGCGGAGGAGCAGCACTGAAGTGACACCATTGGATAGACCTATAGTAGAGAACTGAGCGGTTTGTATTTTACCTGCTCAGATACAACTGGTTAAAGGACAAATGATTCTGTTTGTCCACACTAGCCATGCTGAACCTTTTGAGAAGCCATGCATTGCAGCCCCATGAACACACTAGTGCTTTCCTAAATCAGTTCAGTTGCAATGCACTCTGGGAATCTGTCCCACAATGCACAAGTCACTGTAGAGCTGGCCTGTCTGAGCATAAAGATGTACTGTTGGGAGAGAAACAACCAGTACTGCTCCTTTCACAGCTGCCTCAGCCTGCAACCCTCCTTTAGTTCACTGACAGAAAGTCTCCTTTCTCCCTCCCCCCAAATAATTTCCCCTCTCCTCCATCTATTACTCCTTATTATTCCCCCACTTAAAATCCCTCTGACTCTGAGCCTCCTGCAATGGCCCTGACTCCCACTCAAGTGTGTCTGCAACTGATGAATCACATTTGATTTGCTGGCTGCAAATATTGGTCTGACAAATTAAGGTGAAACTCAGACTGTCAACAAGACACCACAGTTGGACTGCCAGCTACAGATGCTTTCTACATAGTCCTGCATTGGGAGTCTCCCATTCAGACCAACCCACTTCACCCTGATACCACCTCCCCCCACTCCAGCCTTAGGGAATGTTTCCCTTCACCTGCATGGAGAAGCTGATCTCTGGATTCTCTGACAGAGAACTGGTTCTTTGTCAAAAAAAAGGCTGCTTAATTTTAATCGTATAGTGTTCGTGGCAGCTCCGGCATTCTTTACAGGGATATACAGCCCACAGGAAAAGGTATTTTACAGAGCCCCAATTAGACAATATACGGAAAAGCGTCATCACCTACTCTCTACAAAGGTTCCAATTCTTTAAGATGCTAAGGGCACTGAAAACCTCACAGTTGGACTCTGATTCCACGTGCCAACTGGGGGGGGGGGGAGCT